TAAAAACTCATATAAGAAGAAACCGATTCAAGCAAACTATCCAACATTCTCCCATTCATAAAATGCTTTAAGTTATAGTAAGTATGGAAAGCAATAATTGGGAGAGAAGGTAACTGCATAAATAACCGGCAGTTTGAATGGAAGTGGTTGATTTAAATTCCATACACTATTTAATAAAAATGTAGCATAAATTCAAAAATTTACATCATAAATGGGGAAAAATTTGTTTAAAATGTGGAAATATTTACTAAAAACTCATAAAAGAAGAAATCGATTCAAGCAAACTATCCAACATTCTCCCATTCATAAAATGCTTTCAGTTATATAGTAAGTATAACGCAAGTAAGTAAGGAAATTGTTGGGGCTATTGACGGGATAAGGTAACTGCATAAAGAACAGACAGTTTGATCGTTTATCGAATAAAAAAACTCAATCGGTCAATTCATTTCATGAATATTAAATATAATGTGACTTAGAAAGAATCATCGTTCCACGGTGAGACTCTTCTTTTACTATCAGACAATTGCTTTTACAAAGATTAATGTTGCTATCTCTTATCTTTTCCGTCAGCAAAATAGAGACGTTCATACAGGCAGACTAGCAAACAAACAATCTGAACAAACAAATGCTAGTTGAGTCTAAAAGACAGAAAGATTAAGAAATCCTACAAGTATTTAATCGTATATTCTTCGCTCTGTTTTTTCTCAAATACAAGTATATGTGCATTTTTCAAATCTTCATCTAGACCTGACGTATATTCTAACGAGCGTAAAAGTTATCTTGGTCTACGCGCACGCCGAACCTACATACCCCCCACAATGTCTTACAACAAAACTTAATTCCTCCATGGTCATGGACTACAATCTATATATCCTACTGTAACGTATCTAATCTTACTTTGTTTTCCGACAACATTATGGGTTCCCAAGATTTTGATATAAGAACTGTTTCTTAAGTCGTATTATTTCTATTATTTCGATGCATTGCGATTGTTCTTAAACTGTGGGATGAGTTGTGATTGAGTGACAAACACACATCGTGATTGGCATTCGTTTCGTCATATTTGTACCTATGTATGTATAACATCTGGCCTAACATTCTTCCTTCTTGGTGTTAGAATATACCCTTACACTTTCCAGTAAAGAGTATAATAAATTGGAAATCTGCAAAATCAGACTTCTCCAAGCTCATACCACTGTGAGGCGACAAGTGAAGATGAACTCGCTAGTAAAACAGAACTCGGGCCCGCTTCATGTTTCCTGCCCACCTCACCACCCAGCAGCAGTTCATTCAGAGACATGCTATTACTTATATACAAGTATATATGTATATACAAGTAAAATTGTTTTTGGTCCATGTGACGCCATCAAGGTAATGCTGCGCCCCAAATGACTAAGCCGCCAAGGGGCGACGACTCATTGCATTACACTTATCTAATGAGTGAGCTTCCCAGTGATCCCAGCGACTGTTTCCAAGCACGTAAATCTCCCAACCCACGGCCACCTACGCAATACGTCATAAATCAAGGGGCCATCATGTCGTCACAGCCGAAACGCGACCCATCATTATTAGACTCCACCATTAGGGAGCACAGACCTGATTTCGCTAGGGATGCACGAACAAGTACATACAAGTATACACGTATGAGTTCAGTTTCCAGACGCAATTTCAGTTTCAGTAACAGCTAAGCTATGGTCAGACAGCCAAATAGTTTGCACAGCAATTTCACTAATCAGTCACGAACAATGAAAGTAAGTTGGTATTGTTTGGAGCTTACTTAAAAAAGTTATTTGTTTGATAAAAGGAGTTTGTGTGAAAATTATTTGCGTGTCAGCTTATTTATGGTCAAACCGGCAAACAATTTGCACAACAGCGACTTTTTATGGGTATGTCTTGAATATTTAAAGTACGTTTTTTTGGATTTCCTAAGTTTAGATTACCCGGATAATGAAGCAAGTTTATACGAAAATTATTTGCACGTCTGATCGCAATCACAGTAACAGTTAAGCTTTGATCAACAATTTTCTACACCAGATTAAGGTCTACTTGTAAATCATAGCGAAATTATGTGGAAATTATTTGCACGCCTGATCGCATCTAATTGTGACAATTAAGCTATTTGTCGAAGCATGTTCATGGCCCATAAAAGTTGTATACTGAAAGGTAGTTTAGGATTTAACTGACAAGGCCCAGTTTTGGGCAAACTATTTGCTTGTCTGACCGTTGCTTTACCGTTGCCACAGTTACATTTGCACAGTCGTTGGCCAAGTGATCGCCGTGCGATGGCTTTTATGATGTTATGGTGTTGATGGGGGTAAACGACGGTAAACAAAGCGCACTGAGGCTGAGTAAACGCCATTTAATTGCCCCATAGGAATCAGTCACAGTTCCAGTGGCACTGGCAGTGCCAGTTGCTGTCGCGTCGCACAGTGGGGCCTTAGGCCGAAACAGCTTGCGAAAATCAAAATTTTCATGAACGCTTTGGGAGTAATGAATAAACGTGTCTAATAGTTTTTTTTCCAAAGATTACGAAAATCTTACTCTCAAAAAAATCGGAATTATAGTTTAGGACATATGTGCACTCAAAGTCGACCCTTTTTTAAGCTCGCAACAATTAATTCAATTTGATGCAAATACTTCATCTTTCAGGTATAATATTAGCTAAGTTATGAAACGAATCATTGATGTTTTGATTTGTATTGCTAGATGAATTAATTTTATGCATTATTTAATAAAAACTATGTCTTTCGTATTTGTAGTTATCTAGAAAACGTTATTTTTTAAACTACCTATTTTTAGGGTGTTTTTCAACTTTGATGGAAAATACAAAAAAAGTACCCAAAAGTACCTCGCCCATATTTTCAAAATATGTTCCCTAAATATTATTTTACCTAACGCAATAAAACTTTCATCCGCCCGGATCCGCCGGTGTGCACCAGAGCAAAAAGAGTGCCGCAACTTCGGAAAAAAATCAGCGAAAAAGGCGCTGCCGCGGGTATAAGAAGAAGAATGCATTGCAGGTAGATTCGCAGTAACGGCTATTAGGAACATTGTATTTAGCATTATGGATACAAAAATATACCTAAGCGGTCCTATTTGATCCACATTTAATATTGTGCAACCGAAATTATGCATAACATTTATTACAGGTAGTGTAATTTACAATATCAGGTGAAGGTCTTGCAATCTTTTTGACCCTTTCATGAATTGTAATTTCTTTGCTTTAAAGCATTTGAACAGGCAAAAAGAGGTTTTAGTTTATTATCTTAGGTATGCGTTTAGAAATGGTATATATTGCCAATATTTTTGGTGCAGCGTAATAGTCGAATTTTGACTTAAAAAGCAATCAGTTGTGTCTAACTAGCAGTGAATAGTATTTTTCAATATAATTTACGTTTAAATACCTTAAAAGTGATTTTTCTTTAACATGGCTGTTCAAAATGCAACATTATTTGATCTATTTAGGAATTCCAATGATGAGAAGGAATTTGAAGAAGCTGTTCTGGAAGAGCTGTATGATGCTCTGGAAAGTGCAGATCAGCAAAAAATGTTGAGAAATAAGCTTAAATTAATTTATTCTAAAATCAAACAGAAATGGATAAGCGTAGGATATAGCAAGCAGAAATTTGATTTAAAATATGAAATCTGGCTATCAACGACTACGTACTTGGATACATCAATGGACGATGTACCCTCTACATCAACTGGACGAGCCAGAGGAAGAACAACGAAATCCATTGAAGAATGCTCGGATTTTACAAGAAAAAGAAAGCTTGTCGATGTCACAGAAGCCATAGCTACGGATCACTTGTCGGAGGCGCTGTCCATGAAATACACCAAGGATCAGGAAAAAATAAAATCGCAAGTCACAAAAGCGGTTGCTGACGCAAGCCCAGTGCGACTTAAAAGGATCAAGGAAAGCATTCCTACTCCGCCAAACTTACTGCCAAAGCAGTTCAGTGCCGATGAGGCTTTGGCATTGTTTATGGATTTGGGATTGTCAAAGGAAAAATATTTAATATTGCGACATTCCCTAATTCGGCATAATGTTGATGTTCTTCCTGGGTACAAACAAATAGGATCGGCTAAGAAAGAGGCAGTACCTCAGCCCACAATAGTGACGGAACAGTCAGTGCAAGTAACACTTCATGGCCAATTGGAGAAATGTCAGAGGAAGCCCAAGAGTCGAGGAACAAGGACTATAAAAAATTCAGATATTTGAACACATGCAAGACGTCACGAATAAGGCAAAACGAGGATCTCTTCAATATGTTGTCAGCCTCTTCAGATCCACTGGTTTCATCCCTTAGACATGTGAGGTCTCACAAAGAATTAGTTAGTAATTATTCTTCGGACATGGTGAAATTATTAGATATTCCTTCGAATGTAGACGACTATTTTAAAGAAAACATATTAATGTAAATAATTGCAGCTGTCAGTACTTTATAATAAAAATTAATGTAATCATAAAATATTAACAAAATATTTTATTTTAATTTTTTTTTATGTAAAAAAAATTTTCAATATTTTTAAATTTAAAAAAAAAATTTGTAATATTTAAACAATTTTTTTTTCAATTTTTAATTTGTTAAAAACTAAAAATATAACATAACTGAAAATAATTGTATCATTAAATGTTTTTTATTAGTTTGATTAGGGAAATATTGCACTGGCAACAAAATCCAACTTTGAGCACACATTGCGCAGCTCCTACAAATCACAGCACAATGCGCTATGACTTGTTTCAAAGCTTAAGAATTTTTCTTTCAAACAAAATTTGAATGACGAAAATTGCTTCAGCCGTTCAGAAGATATGATTTTTGCAACGAAAAAAGTCCGAAGGCCCCACTGTGCGTCGTATCGCGACGTCATTTTGTTGTTATGGGGCGAAATCATCTGTTGATTTTGGCACATGTAGTGAGATTTCCTCTGCCTACAAGATACAGTGCAACTGCGTTGCGATTGTTTAGTAACTCGACGGCAACGCGCGCCACATCAACGGCAACGACAGCTCTTCCCTACAACAAAAGAAAATGAGTGAGCCCGTGAAGGAGTTGGACGGAGCCAGCCCATTGCCACAACAACAGCTGTCCACAATCAGTGAGCAACTGGAAGCGGCTAATGGTGTGGGCCAACAACAACAACGACAAGAACAGGAAGATGTCGCCAAGTCGCTGCCGGAAGCAGCAGACTTCGAGACCGCCATCGATGCTGCAGGCTTTGGTTTATTTAACATATTGCTGCTGCTGGTGAGCGTGCCATCGGCCATGGCGACTGTCTTCGAGACTTCGACGATGTCCTACATATTGCCCAGTGCCGAGTGCGATTTGCGTTTAAGTTTGCTGGACAAGGGCATCCTGAATGCCATCACGTATGCGGGCATGATCAGTTCCGCCATCTTTTGGGGCTATGTGGCCGACACGAAGGGCCGCAAGAAGCTGCTCATTTTTGGCTTTGTGGCCGATACGGTATGCGTGCTGGGCGGCGCCATCAGTCAAAACGTGGTCCAACTCATGGTGTTCAAGTACTTGGGTGGCTTTGTGTAAGCTCTAAGACCTATCCTCTCTTACTACAAGTATATGTATATCCTCAGCTAATCGATTGTCGCATTTTGCATCTTGCAGCATTAGTGGCCCATTTGCGGTCCTAATGAGCTACCTGACTGAGCTCCATGGGCGACAGCACCGCCAACGCGTCATGATGGTGGTGGGCATCATGTTTTCCATAGCCACACTCTGTTTGCCCGGCCTGGCGATGCTGATACTGCCAGAGCAATGGAATATACATATATGGGGCTTGTCTCGTAAGTTGTATGAACTTGAACAGATAATTAGCCTTTTATTAGCGCCAGGCATTACGTATTTTGTGGCTGATAAGCGAGCCAAAATGACAAACAAGTGATTATGGCAGCACGCCAAAAACAGCTGATAGGTTCGCACGATATCAGGTAGCTTAACTGTTAACTGAAGCAATCGGGAAAGGAAGAGGAAGGGCTCAATATTGGTTAATCAGTAACGCAACAGCATGAGCTCATTATTTCTCCTTACACTGAGGGAAAAGCAGAACAATTGGGCTTGAAATGATCCCATTACTCTGGAGAATTGCGAATTTTCTAATCAATCGGGAAAGTTTCCAACCCGATTTATTATTAACAAATATCAATATGTCGAGTGAATTAAGTTTATTACAATTGACAATATTTTATAAGTACTCCTTAAATTGAATTTTCACAAAGGGTTCTTCTTCTCTCGCTGGTCGATCTCAATTGACTTATTCTTATCTGTTATCGGTTACTATCGCTTAATGATCACTGTTAATTACTCACTACTTAGATATTCGATCACTATTTGGTCTATTATTAGCTGTTAGTGATTGCTTGGTGTTCCTACTGTTACACAGTTAGCGCATTCCTACAGATAGGAAACAACAAAAATCTAGGTATATGCAATGAATTAAGTATCGGTCTATTGAACTTAAATCTAAGATATTGTACTTAAATAGGACAGATCTTTGAACTATTGGCCATTTAAGGGTAAATATTAATCATTACTTTTAATTGCAGTGCACTCTTGGCAGGTGTTTCTGGCCATCTCGGCTCTGCCAAGCATTCTAAGCAGCATACTATTGAACTTCTTTCCCGAAAGTCCGAAATTTCTCATGTCGCAGGGCCGCAACAAGGAGGCTATGCAAGCCTTTCAACTGATTTATGCGCTGAATCATCACAAGGCAAGGAGTGCATATCCGGTAAGTAGAATCATCAGAAGAGATTACAACATCTAAGCATTACTAATGCAGAATTTTCACAGATCAAGCTGCTAGTCAATGAGGTGCCGGAAAAGCGAAGCTCTCTTAAAGCAGACGTTGAGCATCAGTTGGGCAAATCGAAGTTAAATCAGAACGGTTTGGAGGTAAGCGGCCGAGTGGCAGACAAGCCGCAGAGTAGTCTACGGGCCGGACTAGCACAGCTCCGCCCACTCTTCGTCAAGCCCTATTTGGGCCTCTCATTATCGGTGTATTTACTGAACTTTTGCGTTCTGTTGGGGTAAGTCAAGTGATTTGGAGAGCTGGCAGGTCCTGCTTATAACACTGTTGCTCCGCGCAGCCAAAATACAATGCGCCTCTGGCTGCCACAATTATTCGCCTCCATTACGGAATATGAGCAGCTTATGGTTGGCCAGGCAACAGTTTCAGACTCGAGTATATGCAGAATTTTGGAGTTTAGCGTGAATCGGACCCAGCAGGCGCTATTGACGGGCGTTCAGAGCGATGGCGTTGTTCGCGAGTGCACGGTTAACATAAGTGCTGCTTCCTATTCCAATAATTTGATTGTCAGCTTTGTGGGCCTGTTCTCCTACATGGTGGCCGGCTCGCTGGTCAACCTGGTGGGCGTCAAGCGCATTTTGAGTGAGTAACGCCGACAAAAGCCGTTACAAAAACAACAAAACACAGTTACTTTATTTAAATTTTCAGGCTTTGGTTTGTTTATTGCCGGCTGCTGCGGCATTGGGATGTACTGGTCCAGTTCTGCTGCCTCCACGGTAGCCATTGCCTCGCTTTTCGTAGCTCTGGGTAGTATATCGAGCACATCAGTCATTAGCGCGTCGGTCAGCTTATTTCCCACATCGTTGCGGTAAGTAAGATTCATTTAATGGAGTGCTGTTTTATTACCTATTTATTACATACATAGCACCATGATTGTGTCGCTGGAAATGATGTTTGGACGGCTGGGATCTTTGCTGGGCAATATATTCTTTCCCACACTCATGAATCTAGGCTGCATACCACCCTTTTTAATGATCGGCTTGTTTATGCTGTGTAAGTTCCAAGCGTAGAAACATTCAACAACTACAATCATGTATCTAAATGTGTCTGGCTATCTTTAACTTGCCAGCATCTGTCCTACTCTATTACTCTCATTTTCATCTCTTGTATCGCTCATCACATGTTTTCTCCATCAACCAATACAGTTATGGTCTCCCATTCTTCTTCAATGCCTCCTTACTATCAGTCTTCTAATTCTACCCAGCTCTTCTTCAACTCTTTTCTTCATCTTTACAGTCCTCACCTTTCCCTTCATGCTTCTCATGTGAAACTCTTTGTCTTCTCTATAGTCGAATTTTTTACTACCAGTCTTCTAATTCGACCCAGCTCTTCTTCAACTCATTTCTTCATCTTTTTATTTTTCCATGACTTGTTTACCGTTGATTGTCTTTCTTTCTTCTTGGTAACATTCTTTTATTATTTTGATTATCATCTCTTCAATCTTCCGAAACATCGCTTCGTATTAAGCCAACACTTTGGTTATCTGGTTATTTCCCTGCTTGGCTGCTCATAATATTTATCACTACTTGTACATCATTCAACTGTTACCTAACACCTTTAGTTCTTTCTCATAACATTTACATTCTCTTTTGCTACGTTTCAGCGGCTAGCGTGATGGCTGCATTTCTACCACTGAAGAACAAAGCGGCACTGAAATAGTACAAAATCTGAAGACATACACGTAGATGGAGTTTGCTTATATATATTTCAGAAAGAAAGACGAAAAAAAAATAGGAGGAGGAAAACGAAGCAAATTCCAAAGCCCATTAGCTGTTAGTTTAACAATAATTTATTCAAAGTTACAGCATAAGAAACAAAAACAATTAAAACTGAGCTTTCATCTCGTTGTATCTTTCTTTTGCTCATCCTCCTGATGTTATTCGTAATTTCTGTTACTCTTCATTCATCACTTAAAGAAGTTAAGTCTATTGCACTCCCTTGGGCTTAACAAATTTGCATGCAATTTTGCGCCATCGTCAATTATTCTATTCATCAATTTCCATAAACTTTCCTGACACCATTGATTGCATTTATCAGTTCTTGACGTGCTCGAAGCAACGCGGCAATTAGCAGAATCAAATTTGCTTTGCAAACGAAGAAAAAATAATAATAATACGAAAGAAGAAAAGAAAACTTACTCTTTCATGCCGACAGTGCAAGTTCTTACTGTCAAGAGCTTTAAGTGAAGGCCACTCGTGGCATCACCCTCACCCTCACCCTCATCATCTCCGTCACCTCTATCGTCACCATCATCTCCATCATCATCATTATCATCTTGGCTATCTCTTGCCACTCTGCTTGCACATGAGAAATGTAAATGCAATGGAAATTATGTGACAGCAGCAGCGACTTAGTTGATAGCCAGTAGAGAAGAAGTGTAGAAGAGTATAAGAATATTGGGTGGCCAGGCATATAGACGAGTAGGCAAGTAGGCGACCAGGCGACCAGGCGTTGTTCCAGGCTACTTTCCAAGGCTTTGCCAAGCGTTGCGGAAGCTCATGACAAGTTGAACAGCTTGCTGCATGATTTCACAAATGTTTCAAATCAAGCAAACACCACAAAACTTTTAATTAAAAACTTTAAGCAAATGATTCAAGCTTGCTACGGACACGAATCCAGCGCGAAATCTGATGCCAGCCCAGTGATAAAGTCGTGTAAACCGCAACAGGTTGCCCCCGACCTCCAGTAACTCAACACGCTGAGCGCAGCACTTAAAGTCATGACTGGATATAGCTACGTGACCAAATCTTCTGTTACGCTAATCACGCTCACGCAGCGAAAAATTCCCTTACACACTCCTTTTCCTGCAATCCCTCGGCTTATATTTCAGCCAAAAAAGTTTTAGACGGCTTTTCACATACACGCTCACACCCGCACCCGCACCCGCACCCGCACTCACACCCACACTCACATCCGGAGTTACATTCATTTCTCATGCGCTTGACTTGGGTGAGGGCATATACTTGTATGTACAAACACTCATACTAGTATATACATACGAACATTTGTACAGAGAAGTATATACTATAGTATATATACAAGCGATATACTCGTGGAAAAAAAGAAACATTTTAAAAAACACACCCAGCCACCGCTGGCACATGTCTGTTGGTTATCCAGCATGAAGTTGGCAATTCGAGGTCTTGAAAAATGCTGTTTTTCATTCTATCAAAAAAATTATACATAATAGTTTTCATTCGAAATGCCAGGACGATCAATATTCTATATGTACAAAATTGAAACAATGCAACAAACCACACTAGAGGCAAACATTTGGAAATATTGGTAGCTGCAATACATCAACCATAATATTAACAAACCATAATTATATCAACCATTAGAAGCAAAATAATGAGTTAACACAAAATGTAGTTTTTCAAAATTAAAATATGAATAATACATCAAATTAAAATCTAAGGAATACAAATAACTAACTACAAATGCTAGAATCCAGCAAACCCCAACATTATTTGTGGAAAAATAAAGATAAGAAGAAAAACTAAGCATTAAAAACATTAAGGTTTATGCTTTGGAATTGTGCTCAGTAATTTTAATTCGCTTTATGCAAATAAACCCAATAAACTCTTTTCACCCTTCAGGCAATATAGCCACAATTTTTGAATATGATTAGAAAAACTTGGATGGGTGCTCCATAAAAACAATTTGATTTAAATCTTTTTAGTTCATTTAATGGTTTCTAAAACCAATTAAAAAATGTATAGAAAACAGATGACAGATTAGAAGCGCAATTGATTTCAAATATAAACAATAAGTAGTGTATACATAATTTGTATAGAAAGTTTTTTGTGCCACTGTCTCATTAGCGTGTGCCAAGAATGTGCCGTAATGCCTTCGCACTGACTGGGAAGGTTAGACAATTACGCGCAGGTAGTCGGTCTGATACGGAGCGGATTGGAGTTTTCCCAAAGAGCTATACAAAGATTCTGCTCACTATTTTGTAGTGTTGTGCTTGCATGCTTTTGTAGTTGGTTATCAAAATGATAAGCCAAACAAATATTAACTCGAGCCAGCAACGTCAACTCATTTTAAAATAAGAGCAAATCGAAATTGAGTTGGAATTCGGTTGCAAAAGTTATTTCAGTATCTCCTGTAAATAATGTGTAAGGCACTTGTAATAATAATACAGTTTCAATATGATTCTGTGTTAATAAACAGATATGTATATACATACATAGTAGTGCCTCACAATTTATTTCGTGCAGGAGTTGTACATTTGTAGAAGCTTTTAATTGCTTTCTTATATAAACATTACTTAAATGCAGATTTGTAGCTACATATATACTTCAAATATATTTTCAAGCACTGCTGCTGCATTGAAGGTTACAGTTTATTTCGTGCAGTTCCTAAACTTCCGTTGTTGTTATTATACCCTGTATCCAAAGGGTGAAAGGCTAAAGTAGTTTTGTGAGAGGTGAAAAAATGTGAAATGTGAAAAATGGATCAGTCTGTCTGTCTGACCGTCCGTCTGTCTGTATGAACGCAAGGATCTCAGAAAGTATAAGAGCTAGAGTAACCAAACTTGGTATCCAGATTCTCCTAAGCCCGAGAAAGGACAAGTTTGTTCATTTATTCCGACACACCCCCCACACTCCCCCGCTATATGCAATTTTCTATAACTCTCCCAATTCTTGGAATTTTGAACTCAAATTTGTTAGTCACATCCAGTTAGTGATTATGGATCTGTATAATAAATTTCATTATGATGGGCCAATTAGAAAAAAAGTTTTAGCCATAAATGTAATCTCTGCCCAAACTCTGCCCGCAGCTCTTGTTGTTGACTTGCTGTTTGTTAACTTGATTCTGTATTGCACACATATGTCTCTAATTATGTATGTATGTATTGGATATTTTTTATATAATTTACAAGTAATTAATGTAAATAATTTATTTTTGTTTAAATAATTCTTAAAGTTCGATATTGTTATCTTATTGTTTGGAGTGGGTGCAGGGTATTTAAGAGTTGAGCTCGCTCGACACTAGCATTCCTTACTTGTTTTTTAATTTAAAATCGGAAAACCGTGGCCTTTTTAAAGAAAGGTCGTGGAACGGACAGAATTTAAAAACGGAAATACCTGAAGTCGTAGGCCTGAGGAGCAACTGGGAAAGAAATGCTTTGCTGAAACGCTGCGCCACGAGCTGCATGTGAACAGCACTTCAATGGTCGCGAAGCTGTAAAGAAGCCGTGCAATGGCAAAAAAAAAGAAGAAAAAAACAGAAATCAGCATAAGAGCACGTTCTGAAGCCAATCGGATGGTTCGACAATGGTTTTTCTGGCAGACGGGACCAATTTAACACATGTGGGGCACGCATTTTTCCCTTTGGGTGTGGAAATCAAAAACATACATATACATAGCTTCATACTGGGCTCTTTAACGGATGGAAAGAAGAAGTACGTGTACACTCTTATTAATCAATTAAGAGGCCGATTAACTCGCACAGGCGTAATGGCCTCCAGAGACATTTCACCTGTTCAATACGATTTGGTGAAGGGTATAAGAATAGTATTACAGGCAGACACAAACGATACACGACAGACGACAGATACTCGATATACTAAAGTCGACATGAATGGAAAGCTTAAGCAGCTTTCAATCGCCACATCAATCGAGTAGACGACGTTCACGCTGCTGAACTTCAATTATAATTGCAGACGCTTTTGCCGTAATCTTATCAACGGCATTTGCGGGGCAGAGCCGTCGAAACAATATTTGATTGCCGGCAAGCTCGGCTATCAGTCTGCCAAGATGAGTCTAAGTGGAAAGGTTGTCATTACGACGGGTGCTAGTAGCGGCATCGGTGCTGCCATTGCCCAGGTGGTGGCCCGCGAAGGGGCCCGTGTTGTGCTCGTTGGTCGCAACCTGGTGAACCTGCAGGCCACACAGGCGGTGCTTGTGCAGAAGCAAGGACGCCAGGCTGGCGATGTGCTGATCGTGCAGGGGGATGTGACCAAGGATTCCAAGTCAATTGTTCAACAAACGCTGGCAAAGTTCGGACGCGTCGATGTGGTCGTAAATAACGCCGGAGTTCTGAGCGTGGGCGGCTTGGCCGATCTGGACATTGAAGAGTTCGATCGGGTGCTAAACACCAATCTGCGTGGTGTGGTTCTGCTAACACAAGCTGCACTGCCAGAGCTGTTGAAGACGAAGGGCGCTGTCGTGAATGTGAGCAGTGTGGCTGGACTGCGACCTTTCGCAGGTGCGCTCAGCTATGGGGTGTCCAAGGCCGCCTTGGATCAATTTACCAAGATTACGGCCATGGAGCTGGCACCGTTGGGTGTGCGCGTCAATTCGGTTAATCCGGGCTTTGTGGTCACCAACATACACAGTCGCATCGGCATCAAGGATGAGGTCTACGATGCAATCCATCAACGCGCCATTGAAACACACCCCATGGGCCGTGTGGGTGATGTCCTTGAAGTGGCCGAGGCCGTGGCCTTTTTGGCCAGCGATAAGGCCAGCTTCACCACCGGCGCACTGCTGCCCATCGATGGTGGCAAGCATAATCTGACGCCTCGCTAAAAAGTATTATAAACGCTATTCTTAAACTACTAATAAAGAGAACATGTACTCGTATTCTATCAACAATTTCCCACTGTACCTATAGACCCACAAATGACCGCTAGAGTTGGCGTTCAGCTTATCAGCGGTTATAACTTTTCCAATCTAAGACACTGATAGGCCATGAAGATGACTCGTCAACAAATGTTGAAATCACACCTCTACGCCTTATCTTAAGAGGTTCCCCTGCTGATTGTCACTCACTCAAAAATACTGGTACAAATGTAATTGCGAACGTTTTAACTGCGTGATCAACAACTATGCCCCTTAACGGGCTTTCACAATGGAAACCATTTATTTGAACGATTTGGGACAGCTTTTCGTTTGTTTTGTTTTGAAAAGGTGTTAACTGTCTCTCTTCAAAAGCTCTCAGCCAAGTCACAGCAAACACAATGAACTTTGTAAACCACCAAAGCATCAGATTAAGCTTGAAAACTAATGAAAAGCTGCATTTCAGTAAACAGTTACTAGCAGTTACTAGAACCTAAAGGCATTTCCCTTAGCAGCAGTTACAATTCAAAAATCTGTGGCTTAACGATTTAAGCAAAATATTATCGGATTGGCCTTACACCAATAGCTTTAGCCTCCTATCTGAGCCTTAACTTAAGAGAGTGGAGAGGCAGGTTTTTTATTATTAAAAATCAATGGGTTGACGATTTATCAAACAAAGTGATGCAACCCTTGGGCTTACCCCTAAAGGAACTGAGAGCTTTACATAAGTCTAAGGCCTACATTTCGAATGAAGAGAATGGCCGTTAAATGCTTCGATAGCTTCTTTTTGAAATTAATATTGAGCCACAAATCATCATAAGCTACTTTGGAAGAAGGCTTCTCGTAGCGGTTGTTGGCCTTAATGGGTTTCCTAGAGACTAGGGAACTTCTGCGTATTAATTTGTGGAGACGCCTTGCATGTCACCCCAGCGGGCTAGCGAGGGGTTTCTATTGCTTTCTAGGCCAAGAAAGTGAAGATTAACAAATATAACCTACAGGATCTCCCCACGAGATTCTATATTTAAGCCACATACTTCGTACTTTGTATATGATTTAGTTACATAGTTTTAAGTGCAATCCTATAGATATATTCTCTGGACAATTGTTGCACTCCCCTTTAATGTAAAACCGGATGAAGCTGCCACATAGGTAGCAGCAAATCTGTTAATAAAATGTAGTACAAATTTTGAAAAACAAAATATTAATTTGACGGTTTAAGCCTTATGTTCACTTACAAATTGGTTTCTCAGAATTAGCTTTTTATGCTTTTATCGGGTGCTTTAGCATTCGCAGAAAATGCAACCAAATTCCATTAAACAGCATATCCGGAAAATTGAAAAGAGAAGAAAAACAAACCCCAATGGTTAAAGCTCGTAATGTCAAGTGCAAGCACTTGAAAGCTTGCAGCGACACTGGCGTACGTTTCTCGGGAATTCCAAAAGGAGGGAACGACGTTCTCATTGCATATCTGCGGGCGTCGTTCCCCCAACGCTGGCTACGCCACTGAGCGATTAACAAAAAGCTCCCCAGAGCCACCCCCATTGACAAAAGCTCGGCCGTGACGGCCAACTGTTAGTGCTAAAGAATCTGTCGCTGGCATCGGGGCCAGTCTAAAACACAAAGCGCGCCGTACACCAATGAAGTGAACCCAATCCTGCCCCGTGGCGAACATACGACGAAAAACACTCACTCACACATACACACACACACACACACACACTACCACGCACCCACCACCCGTGTGGGAAAGCACAGAGCCAGCTGGTAGCGAACTATGCACTTGATTGATTTTTCGCCATAGGAACGTGGCTGGGCAGCGAACAGAGGCACAGGAAAGTATAAACAGGGGAGGAACAAATTCCTGTGCATTGCGAGGGAGCAGCTTCTGCTGCAGTCTGGACGCCAATATGGATGACATTCTGCTGTCTACCAGCTGTGGCAATATGGATACTGTAGTTGCTGCAACAACAGCAACAACAACAACACCATCAATAGCAACAACTGCCTTCGATAGCAGCAGCATAATTGAAATCAAAGTTCCAGATTCAATTCAATCAGAAGCATATCCCGAAGAAGACTCCAATATTATTGATGCTGTAGCTGAAGCCATTACTGATGGCAATGCCGAGGCGGTTGTGGATGCAGATGTAGATGAGGTGGATGATGGGCAACCCCTGAGCGAGCGTTGGTCACCACTGGGAGCCAACTACGACGATGCGCACAGTCCCAGCTCCGAGCTGTTGAGTCCCGACTGCTGTGAAGCGGAACTGGCAGCCAGCCTCGAACGGGAGAGGCAACCAACAGAGAGTGCCACTGAATTGGCACGACTGCGCAACATCGAGGAGGAGCAGGAGCTGCTTACTAGCTCCCTCCTGGCGCTGACCTCACACTTTGCACACGTCCAGTTGCGCGTGCGTCAAATTGTGGAGGCGCCAGCCGACGAACGGGATCAGCTCCTGCGAGATCTGGAGGATTTTGCGTTTCAGGGCATACCAGAGGCGGCCCAACTGAAGGAGAGTGCAGAGAGCGAGCAGCCTGACGATGGCAAGCCAGTGCAGCCGGACAGTCAACTAATTGAGCAGCTGAAGACGCAGCTGACGGAGCTCGAGCAATTGGCCTATGAGGCAGGGGCGCCGGGTGTGCTGCCCCAGCAGATGCTGCTCGAGAAACAAAAATTCATACTGGACGAGTTGAAAACCAAGCTCAATCTGCAGGTGGAGCAGCACGAGCTGCCAGCACTGAGTATGGAGCAACTACGTCATCAGGTGGACAATGCCATTGGCGAGTTTGTCGGGCCGCTCAAGATGAAGGAACAACTGGTGGCACAGCTCAAGACACAAATTACCGATTTGGAGCGCTTCATTGCATTTCTTCAATGCGACACTGGAGGCACTGAAGGCGCCTCCAGCTCGGCGGACAAGCTGAAGCAGCTCAGTGGGGCCTACAACAGCTATGCAGCCAAGCAAACTGCCCGACAGATGCCATCGAAATCGATGAGCACCAAAGTGGCTACGGCAGCTCCAAGTTCGGAGGTCTCACATGTGGAGTCCGCCGAGTCGGAGCCACGAGGCGAGAGTCTCCACAGCAAGGCTCACGGTCTGCTCGACAAGGCATCGCTGCTCATGCAAATGTTCGCCAGCACGCATTTCGCCACACGACAGGCCGACTTTCAACAGAACTCCCTGAAGAAGACGCACAAAGGCAACCACTGGGGGTGAGTACGGATTCAATGATCGTAGCAGATAGAAATGCTTTATCAGGAACACTCAAGTGTCGTTAGCTCCATTACCCGTCCGGTACAGTTTCCTCAGCCATATACCAATGGAGTTAGCATGTGGTAAACGGAGGGCTGGCTGATCGCACAGCTGGGTAACTGGGTGAACACATCTGATAATCTCGAAACAAATGCTTAAGCAAAGTTTCCGCCTGAGGGAAAGCTTAGACTGTGGTCTATTTCAGGCAGGTTTGCTTAAATGATTATCCATCTGCGGCTGTCCACTAAAAGTTCAGGGCACATCTTCTTTTCCCCGTTGAATAAAGGAGATTATGTTGTGGGTTTATCGTTAGAGTGATTCACAATTGATAGCAGAATGCCTTTCATTAAATAAAAGTCAAGACCCACAAAACGGGTTGAGAAAACGCGTAGAGTAATTAGGCATTAGCAGAACCTGATCCGCATCGAAATGAGGTTCCATAAATCGTGTAATCGTCCACTTTATTACAATTCTTAAGTCTAGAGGTAGAAGAGTTCTATTTTTAAAATTTCTATGTATAAACTCAGATGCTTTTATTAGCAATGAATTGGGGTAATGATACACAATGCAGAACCTGCAGGGCTTTGCGACTGTCCAAGGCCCAGAGATGTTAAAGCATCCCCTGACGAGACAACTGCTCCTTCTCATAAGGGAAGTTGTCTTGTTCCTGTAGGGAGCGCCGAATTGGGGTACAAAAGACTTAAGCTTTTGGCTCACATCTTTGCAGTGATCTGCGCGCTCAGCTGGAGGTGGACATCCAGGAGGTAGCCGCACTGGCAGCTACGCTCAGCTGCGATCGCGAAAAGCTGGCCAACATCAAACGAGCTCTGCGTCAGCACCAAGCTTCCAATGCCACCGACAGTTCGGGCACGATAACTGCCCAGAATGGAGCTCTGACTACAGTGCCGCCTCGTTGTCGTCGTGCCGGCTCTGGCTCCGGCGCTGGCCACGAGCTGACGCCCTATGCCACCGCTCAGTCGTCGGACGAGTCCGATGAGGACGCCTATGAGCGCTACGACTGGGATAAATCGTTGGGTCGTCGCATTGTGCACATGCGTGGCGACTCAATAGCCACCATCAGTCGAGAGCTAACCACAGTGGTGCGCAAGAATTTTGCGCGCACCCTGCAGCAGCTGATACAGCACGGTCTGCGCATACCCGCCGAGTCGGCCACATCCAGTCTAATGGTGCCCTTCCTGCGCTGCCTAAATCCGGGCATGATCGGGGCACAGCGCATGGCGGCACACGACGAGCTGCAGGAAACCGACGGCAGATTTGGCAGCGGAGATGGTGGCCTGCGCGCTCAACTCTTTGGCAGCGGACGGGCGATGCACGCCTGGGAACTAGTCCTGGAGTACTACTATCTGAAGCATGGCGAGGAGTACAACAATACGCCAGCCCGCAAATTGTCTCAGAGCTTTCAGCTGGACATTGTGGACGCCCAGGTGGTGACGGCCAAGCAAAGCCTGCTCACTTCCGTCGGCATGATTGTGGCCATGCACAGACCTTACAAGCGCAGCTACAATGCACACTTCAAGGCCTTCGTCTGTGCCGGTCTCAAGTACGTAGTCCCGTAGTCCCGTAGTCCGGTACTCGCTCTCTATACCCGACATCATTTAACCTCAATCTTCTCTTGCAGTGCCCACTTACTGGTGGAATGGCTTAATCTGATACTTAGCTGCAATGAGCTCATCGACACCTACTATGCGACCAACAGCTACGTGGCACGAACAGGATTTCGGGACTCGCTGCGATCCATTGATGCGCTATCGAAATTTGATTTCGATCTGCCCATAGATCTGGCCGTAAGGCACTTCCGAAACATATAGAGGGATACGCCTCTCCTACTAGCGAGGGGGAAGTTCGCAAACCAAACGAGTTAACGATATCGGTGGCCTCATCAATTATAGAAAAATTCGCCATTGCCTTCGTCCCGTGGCCAACCCCAGCACATCCTTGTTCGTATGCATTATGAATGTTTGTATGTATGTATGTACTATATGCGTGTAAATTTCCAGTTATTAATCGTATTCGAATATCAGGCAGAGCAAAGGGCTCTGCTCAACCTCCAGGTAGACATGAACATTAGACCGAACGCATTGTTTCCAAATTCGAAAACCTATTGGAATTTCAATGTCTTCTTATACCCTGTCCCCGAGTTTGTTAGCCCATTTGATGAGATCCGAAACTTTTGAACCATAGCAGCTGGGAATAACAAACTTTTTCAAACTTAGAATCAAGCTTATTTCTAACCACAAATAGCCAATTTTTTTGTGTGTAGCTGCCATAATACCGATCAAATGGAAGATAGTGGTTTGTGGAATCACTTTTTTATTAAAACCTGTTTTATAATACACCGCCACAAGCTAAAGTTGAATCAAAATCGGTTAATTTTAGCATAAAGATAGTTGCAGGACTGTGTTGAAGGGAGTTGCGGGTGTTGGGTATCCTTTTCTTGTCATCATAATATTCTCAATATTAGAAGAATCAATATCAAAACCTTTCCTAATAGGTCTGTAGTGGGTGGGATGTCCAATTGGGGTTACTAAACAACACAGCTAGTATATAACTTTTATATTTCCTTATGAATATCAATCGGTGGTTCAATAGATTTTGTAGCTATTGAAATGTTGGAATCCTAATGTTGCTCTGGCTGTGGGTCTGTCAGAATTTCGGAGAGTATTAGAGCACTACTGTAAATAACAATTGTCTGATTGTATCTTACAATGTCTTTATTAGATATTGTACTTGTTAGGATTATTCCAAACATTTATGCCACACAATGCGTCAGCTTCAGGCTAATGGTCATGTTTTCCAAAAAATGTTTTCCCTATTACTAGTCCAATATATGTACAATATATAGCTTATGTATAATCGATGAATATATTCAATTTAAGCTGAATTTAAGCTCTTTATGTATAATTACATGTATATAATATTACAAGTAGATATGTCCTATTAACTGATACTTAAATAAAATTGCTAACACAAATTGAAAGCCACTCCACCAATAAGAAACTAGTAATACATCTAGTTGAACTCATTGGTGTAGAACTCGTAGATGCACTGACTCAGTTGTTCGCCCAAGGGACGTTGCAGAGGTCCGCAGGGAATGGATGCAAGCAAGCGCCGCCCTTCAGCCGCAGTCTCGCAGACGGCATAGGCATCGAGGAGGAGGCGGGGCGTGGGATAGCGCTCCACAATGGCCAGAGCACGCTCCAACGAAAGCGAATGAATCTGCAGCAGCTGCTGGACAAAAACCTCGCGCACTGTGAGTTGCGCATTGCGGGCCGAATCCTCGTAGAGGGCACGAAACTTGAGCAGCCCGACGCGTGCGTCGCTGGGGCAGATGGGATGCAGCGACTGCTTATCTACACTGTGCAGGAATTTGGCGCCGTAGAGCAGCACCAATGTACGCGTAACACCAGCCAGATAGCTCATAGAGCGGTAGTGGTTGTCAGTGCGCACCACATGGAAGCCGCAGTGGATACGCGTATTGACCAGCGCCTGCTCCAGTGAGTCCAGCGGCAGGCCCACATGCTGATTGTCGCCATAGTCCTCGATCAGGTAGATGACATGCGGGATACCGCATTGGCGGAGTCGGTGCTTCTGCTCGTGAAAACGGCCGTCGCGTATGCTGGAGGCGAGATCGTCCATGCGCTTGCGCTCGACAATGTAGGGCAGGACCAGCTCGTTGCCAGCCGCGTCGCGTGCTATCCATAGGAAATCGCCCACGGTTAGGCGACGCACCTCGTGCTGCACCACAAGCGACTGCAGATAGCTGCGGGTTTGGTCCAGCACGCGTTTGTTCTTGCCGCTCGTCTCCTGCGTGTCCACCAGCAGAAAAATCTCAAAGCTGCCGGCGTCCATGTGAACAAAGCGTTCCCGTTCCTCGGCAGCCGCCATTTCCTGCTGTGCCTTTTTGGTTAGCTTTTTGGGTTTTTTATTGATGCTGGCCGCTTCCGTTGCTTGTTGTTGCTGCACCGCCTCGACCACTTGTTGCACTTGCTGCTGATACCGCTCGGTAGTGTCACTGGCCATGACATGGCTGGCCATCATTTTGTGCTGACGCAGCTCATCGTCGATCAGTTGGCACAGCGTGCTGCCAAAGCCGCGCAGCACGGCGCATTCGCGGCCAGAGTACAGCGGCAACGGATAACTGTGCAGAGCTTGCAGAGCCTGCTTAAGCTTGTGCTGTGATTTGTGATTGCGCTGCTCGGCCTCCCGCAGCCAACGCTCCAGCCAGCGCGTAAACAACGGATTGGGCTCCTGCAGCTGAATTTTTAGACGTGTAACGGAGTTGTTCGGCATTTTGAACTTCTGGGCCAATCTGCGCGCTACAGCTGTCTCAGCTGACCATACTCTCAAAAGACTGCTGTTTTGCAGCACTGGCCAGCAAACAGTAATTGGTGGTGGACTGTGACTGCTTTTCACTGTGACTGGCAAACTCAGCTGTAAAACAAATTGAAAATTTGCACGCAATTTGCGCGTTTCTTAAACGCAGAGTAATTATAGTGTTTTAGGATTAAAATGGCCAGCGCTGCTCCAGAAGGTGGTGCTCAAAGCATCGATAACATTAAATTGGAGTCGCTGTCGCTAAGCGAGGGCATCCGCGATGCACCGGTCTGTATTATTGTGCTCGGCATGGCCGGCTCCGGCAAAACTACATTCACGCGCAGCCTCATCGAGCACGCGCAAACACAATTCAATCCGTATGTGGTTAATCTGGATCCGGCCTGTCGTGAGGTGCCGTATGCGGCGCACATTGACATCCGCGACACGGTCAACTACAAGGAGGTGATGAAGCAATACCAGCTTGGACCAAATGGGGGCATTGTGACAGCCCTGAATATGTTCACCACGAAGATGCCAAAATTTGTGGAGCTGATCAGACGCGCCGGCGAGCGTGGGCACAAATGGTGCATCATCGATACACCCGGCCAAATTGAGGTCTTCACTTGGTCGGCGTCGGGCAACATCATCACCGAGGGCTTGGCCACCATGTTTCCCACCATAATTGTCTATGTGATGGATGTGGTGCGCTCTGCTTGCCCCACAACCTTCATGTCGAACATGCTCTATGCCTGCTCCATATTGTACAAGACACGCTTACCCTTTCTGGTGGCGCTCAACAAGGTTGGCCATCTGCTATTATTTTCAAGAAGCTTAATGTCTCTATTTTCTTGGTGTGCTAGATTGATTTGAAGGACTGCAGCTTTGTGCAGGAGTGGATGACTGATTTCGAGGCGTATCAGGAAGCCTTGGAGAGTGAGACCAGTTTCGTAAACAACTTGACGCGCACCATGTCCCTCACTCTGGACACGTTCTATGAGAACCTCACCACTTGCGGCGTTTCGTCCACAACTGGCGTGGGTTTCTCCCAGCTGCTGAAGCACTTGCTCGATTCTGTGAATGAATATGAGCGGTAAGTCCCCACTGCATTGTCACATATATCTAATGATTTTAATATGCAATTGATTCGTATTTTATATTAGCGACTACAAGCCCGTATACGAGAAAATGCGTCTGCAACGTCTGGCTCAGGAGCAGGAAGCAGCTCCAGCCTTGGACCCGAAAATCCAATCTGAGGGTGTGGCATTGCCTCTAGGTCTGGACCTTAGTGTACGTACATAGAAGTACAAACATAGCTAGCTCCCCAATATTAATAAGTATTGTCTAATTTAACGTAGGACGCGCCTCATAATACTGGTAGTAACGTTTTTCTTGTGGGAGCTGACATGAAGCCCGAGCCAATGGAGCCGGATGAGCAGGAGAGTGATGTGAAACGTGATACGGAGGATCAAAATTTTCATCGTTTTGTTCAAAATCATGTGACGGCTACGCAAACGAAACATGTGAAGCTGCAACAGGAGGCGGAAAAGGCAGCCCAGACCTAGTATTAAAGTCTATTAAATTTTATATATACATATGTTATTTAGATGCCAGAATCTATTAATACTAATAATAATATAGTTTTATATGAAGAGAAACGCGTTTCAGTGATTGTAGTTAGTTTTAGGTTTTTCTTTATTATTCACTTTAACAAGCAAAAACATTCAATATAGTGTGTGTTTTTTGTGGGTGTATATTTATAATTATATTAATATATATGTACGTTTATATATGTAAATGTATTTATTTGTGTCTGTACGCTTGTAATTTGTTTCCTGGCATTGTATACGGACTTATTTGTTTTAGCTTTTTGCAAATCAGTTTTAACATATCAATACATACACATATATAGAGTTATATCTTTACCGAGCCCTAACCTTACATAATACATACATACATACAAACGTACAAGGTATACGGCCTTAAATTCAGACCGACTTCAATAGAGCTTTTGATTTTCTTGAATTCTCCCTGTCGATGTATGCAGTGTGTGGCTTATGTTGTTGTTGTTTTGAGCAAATCAATTCTGAGTACATATGTATATAATTATGCATACACGCTTACTTATTAGTACATACATACAAACGTTTAATGAGCATTGATTACATTGTATGGCCTACTTAACTAATCCGCTTCCTCCTGTCTGTCTGTCTTTCGTCCATACACCTCCCTTTCTAAGTATTCTAAGCCTAGCCCTAAGTTCATGAATTCAGACATGTTTGCATTGGAAATGAGATTCAGAATACTATACTCATAATCAATATATAACCAAAATACGCAAACTCCTCAACAAACTCTAGAACTGAAGCGCCTTGGGGGGTTCGTTTTCAACTGATCCAAATAATTAAATACTCTCGAACTTTTCAAATGAGGGCCTTCTGAATGGTATTTTTAAGTTTTGAATTAATTTTTTAATTCTTCTATCTAATCATGATTCATAACGTAATGCAGAAATGTGGTAAAAATCCAATCCAAAACAAATATAGATCTAAGAGTGTTATAAAGTATGTTGTATGTATATTATTTTTGATTTTTTTTTTTTTCAATTAAATTAGAATTTTCAGAAACTGAACAAAATACTTCCACTCATATTTATTTCACGTTTGAATCAGAGATTCCACGTTTACAATCTATAAAGTAACTCCAAAACGACCCAAAAACTGTTTCAAATCGGTCCAAAGGACATACATAATCGTTTATAGTTGGTCTTCAATTTCTTTAAATTGAAAAGAGTGTGAGTTTCAGAAACTAGTTTGAAACAAAGTTGAATATCGTTCATGTAGACATTTCTTGGACAAGGGCATCAAAAAAAGGAAGATCTAAAAAATTCGTTATTTAAAGATCTACTAAAACATAAGAATCGAACTAATATTATCTGACGAGCTTGGAGATCAACTGGTTTTTATTTTGAAGTATATATGAATGTTAAAGAAAGTGGTCACAAAATATCAAAACGGTGGTTCCCTTATATTCGAATTTCAGAAAACTTATATAAAATTTGTTATCATAACGGCAACGGAAATAACGGCGGTAAGTACATCTGAAGCCATTGTATTTCGTCGCTATCTAAAAATCATGAACTTTAAGCTCTGCGTAGGATTCCTATGTGTAGTTGTTGTAGTTCCCATTTAGTATTTAAATACTACGCTTACAAAAATACAGATCATCTCACATTCAATACGATACGAGTACCTCGACACCCACACATATACAGTTAGATATACATTTATAGTGTACTTAAAAGTATTTCCTTCGCTAAACATCCAACCAACTACGTGCCTAAGGCTCTCACTTTCCCTCAATCCCCAGAAATATTCCAGACCCATTACCCCCACATACATACATACATATTTATAATACACATTCGCACAAAACAGCTGCAAAACCGTCGTCTGCCTCTCAACCGCCCGACTCGATTTGTTCCGTTTGTGCTATATATTTAGAGTTCCGTAAACGACTTCATAAATACTATATGCTGGCAAAAAGCTGTGCAAATACGAGTATGGTTCAAATGGCACGAATTTTATGCGTGGCTGGCGCCGATCAAATCACAAATTTCTGGCCCACAAAATTTCAATTCATTTCCCTAAACTGATTATTCTGATAAAATAGAACTTAGCGCCAGATGTAGGGAGTATATTCATAAAAACAGATTGTGTGCAGACATCACAAAAGATGTGGAAGGTGCTATATGCATAGCCACCCCCCAATATTTAAAAACAAGTTCTCTGAGAGAGGATTTAAAATACCTTTTCTTTCTAAATTGGGGCTAAATTTAAAAACCAAAACCTACAATTCACAAACGGTATCAAAGAATATTTAAAGCTGGTATCAAAAATGTATGCAGAGCTTAAAAAGAAATTCTAAATAAAAAGAAGTATCGAACTAATATTGAAAATACATAAGGTATTAAGATAGAATAGGATTGAAAATCAAATTTCATTATATTTATGGAAAAGGTGTCGCAAACATATTTTGCTAACAACCTGTTTTCAACAATTAGACTTTAACTTTTAGTAAAATCAAAAAGATCCCGATCCTATCAATTTAGAAGTCAGAAAAAAACCGATCATTGGAGGATTGCTTAAAGGCAAATAATAAACATTTTCAAATATAGAACTGGATGAAATTCGGTGGACTACTCGTATATCCTGCAGAACAAATACTTGTTCACAAAACTAAAATTCAGAAATAAGTACAAGAAGTACTCGAAATCATGAAATTTTGGTTGAACTGTTTTAGGAGTTTTAGGAGTCGATGGAAACATGGGATGAAGTTTGGGACCACTAATTTAGAGGACAGAATCGGTGGCATATGGCGAATACTTTCAAATTTCCTGATACTTTGCATCCCAAGGTTTTCTGTGACTCTATAAACGCGTTCCACGCATAAGCCCTTCGAGACTGCAATGATCGCCATGATAAATGCATTTTAAGCCTAATATTTTGCTATAAATAGGTTTACGACATACATACAGACGTACCTCTGAAGACATTCCCGCACTTACACACACACAGACACATACACATACACACGCATACGCAAAGTAAGAGTTTGGCCTGAAAAGTACACTGGAAAAAACCAATAGCCATTGCGGCTATGCAATGCAATTTAACGCAAACCAATTACTTTTTTGTTTTTTAATTTAAATTTTTAATTACATTGCATTTAATATTTGTTGTTGTTTTTGTTTTGTTTGTTTGCGTGCGTCAAGAAACAGTCTTTTAAAGGCTTTTTTGTTTGCTTTTAAACATAACAGAGAAATTGCTTTGCTGGTATTTGATTTCAAAATAGGCAATAGCTTTGTTTTCGTTTTGGATTCTTGAAAACATTTCCTGGAATAACACATTTCTGAAATACGTGTTCTCCGAGTTCACAAATGATCGCTTCACGTACTGACAATAAACATCAATTTCTGAATTTAAGAATCTATATGTGAGTATCGAACGCTATATCTTAATTGTAAATACAAGTACATACATGGGTTTCTTTTCCACAGAAGAAACGAAAACTTATATTCGATTCGAGTTATAAGTTGCGCTTTTTGATCAAAAACCGAGGATATAAAATATAGTTTTCAGTTAATTTATTTTGTTTTATTTTTTTATTTTTGACACAGAAGCTGGCTGCAATAATACCATGCAAAGGAATTTTAGAAGCAATTCTGGCCCTTTTTTTTAAAAAAAATATCGCTTTTGATTGAACAGACAAGTTATTTCAATTTCAGATTTTTATTCAAATTTAAAATTTTAAATAAATATGCCTTTAACACTGCTTTAGAAAGGTATTGACTTTGGAAAAATAAAGAGCAAGGGAGCAGCTGTATAATAAAGCAGTATAATAAAGAAATTATCCATCAAGATTTTATCATTGGAAGTACGTAGCAATGTCTTAATACAGGAAGGGCTACAAGTTTCGGGTCTGACAGGCGTGCCACATTGAAATTATTTTATTTTAGGGAGAAAGACTATGGGCAGGATTTCAGCGCTTGATTTAAAGGTTATTCATAATTTGAAGAAGCAGGTGGTAGTATTTTTCAGTTCCTGAAGTTATGTAGCGTATAGACTTGAACAATTTGGTAAGATAATTACCAACTTAAGCGGACATGATTCAGACTCTTGAATTCGTTCAACCATAGTTCGAAACTAGTCGACTGAGAAATTTGTTCTACCGATCTAACAAGCTGTTTAGACGAAGCTGGAATTCCGTATTGTTCTCGATTGCTGCAGCCAGTTTCTTTGTTTAGGTGTCTCTTAAGAATACGTCTATAAGTGTATATATAATTTGTAAACTATGGCAACAACAAAAAAAATTCGAGCATATACATACATACATACATACATTCATTCGAGATTCATCAAAAAGCACGCGCGATAAAAAAAGAAAGAAAGAAGGAAAACAACAGACATGTATATAAACATTTTATAATAAAGTTTAATCATCATCGGACAGATTTGTAGTGGTCAGCAGTGTGGCATTATCCTCGGCGCCTTGCTCCTCAATGTCCTGCGGAAGTGCGAAGAGAGAAAGAGAGAGCGTTATATGTTAGATAGTTAGTTGTATTGTGTTATCTATGATGGTACCACCCGTTCAATGAAGGACTCCAGTTTGCAAATACGATTTTATACAAAATATATATTTTGCGATTCTTTTGTTACAGTTTTTGCACATTTTTCATTTTTCTTTGTATAAAAAATAGTTTTACATGCAAATAGGACGTAAAAATGTTCTTAAGTGTTATGCAAAATGTTCTGAGAGAGTTGACGACTAAGAAAAAAATTAAAAATAATAATAACACATGCTATTAAATTATGTGTATGTGTAAACAAACATTAAGCTTAAACAAATTTCTTGCCACGCACATGGAAAACGGAGAACAAACGACGCTTTCAGTTAAGTTTTTCTCTTTTTGTATTTATGTATAAAAATAAAAAATGTTCTTTATCAAAACAAAAATGATAAAATTAATAATAAAAAAAAAACTTAAAAAGAAACAAACACTTTTTAACTCGCAGTGTGTACTAAAAATTCTTTCTAAAATGATATTGGAATGCGGCGCATTTTTTGATTGCACTCAGAGAAAAAGTGGTTTAAATGCAGCGACGTTTTTCGTTCGATTTCGTGTTTTGTTTCTGTTTCTTCCAGCTTCATGTTTTCTGTTGTGCAGTATAGCGTCTGTTCCTGTTGTTGCTGTTTTTTTCTTTTCTTTGTAATGTTTTGCTGCTACCGGAGCTCGAGAGATAATGTCAATTGTGCGGCTCGTCGCATGTGGAAGTGTGCGGAAAATGTGGTCTTGTGTCTGCCACTTGAATTAGTGAACGGCTGGCTCACTTCACCTTCTGCTTAACGGGACTGGGCGTCGTCTGGTCGGCCTCGGGCAGGTCGCTCTCCTTCTTGCGCTTCACCTTGTCCTTGGGTGCTTTCACCTTTTTGGATTGCGACGCCTGCAGCTTGGCCTCGCGTTTGGCCTCGCGTTTAGCGCGCAGCTCCTCGGTGATGAAAGAGAAGACCAGATAGCCCTGCAGCGCAACCAGTCCAGCGAGGGCGAGGAGGGCGCGCAGTTTGTAGGAGCCACCAGCACCACCGATGCCATAGTAGAGCGTCAGCACGCCAATCACCGAGGTGGCGAAGCGCACCAGCACGAAACTCACGCTGTTGACGATGCGGGCGCGCGCCAAACGCTCCTCACGATCAAACACGCCGATCAGCTGGAAGACATGAGCGAGCAGCTCGCTAAAGTAGTGCAGGGTGAGCAGCACCAGCGCCAAACGTTGGAAGCTGAACGTGTAGGCAAGCACGATGAGTGTGAAGCCGCTAATGGAATGAATAATCTTGGGCTGTTGCTCCTCCTTGGCGCGCACCTTCTGGAAGTATAGCTCCGGCAACATGTGCAGGTAATAGGCCAACTGGATGATGAAGTAGAACTTGTGCAGGAAGGTCATCGGATGATCTGGGAAGCCCTCCCACAGGAGCGCCACCTGACCCAGATAGCCCTCGCGCAAGGCCACATGAGCGCCCCACAGAAAAGAGAACAGATAGAAGGCCACCAGCTGGCCGGACTCATTGAAGCGGGTGAGTTTGAATTTGGAGAGATGTAGCTTCTTGCTGATCTTGTCCAGCACAAACTCCTGGATTATCGCATGCATAATGATGCAGGTCAGCGTATAGAAGAAGATCGCGCAGTAATCCTTAATGCCGGCCACGTAGGTATAAGGCTTGCCAGCAGGAAGCTCGCGACTGGGATTCTCGCCACTCACATTGTGATGAAGCGATATAAAGGCGCTCGCAAACGATGCCGTCGACTCGTTCATCAGGCCCACCACAAATACCATCGCAATGCAGGAGATGATGTCCGCATGATTCTGTATAACGAACTCATGGCTGAGTATGGGTGGATTCTTGTTGCTTGTCTTGCGACCCAGACCGGGTTTGATGGCCATGTTACTTTTTGTTGTTGTTGTTGCTGTTGCTAAAAGTTAATCTTCTGATTAGTTGTGGTATTTTTAGCAAAGGGTATAGCGGCACTTTATATACGCGTGGGAATGCGTGCCTGTATATAAATTTATGTATGTATATGTATACACACATATGCATATTTAATATATACACATGTGTGTGTGTGTGTGTGTGATAGCTTGTTGCAACGTCAGCAGCTGGCAACAATAACAACACGCGTGCTGCGCTACCAGCACTGGTCCAGAGCAGCCACCAACATGTGCATGATTTGTTTCGCAGCCTCGCACTATAATTTGCCTTGTTGGCACAAACTCACACACACATTTACATACATACACAACAACTGCACGCACACACACACACTCATATACACATACATACATGTATATATAAAAAGACAGTGCCGCAATATGAAAGCAATTTCTTTTTGGCTTTTCTCTAGACGAATTTCATTGTCGTCAACAGTTATGTTGTTGTAGTTAATGTGTTTAATGCTTACAGGATTTGAATGCGTTTTGATGACGTATTTCCTCAGCGAACGCTTTTCACTGAATGCTCCACAGTTACAGTTTTTATGTTTTTATGTGTTATAGATACGCGATTTTGATGGTTTCTGATTTTCTCAGCCTGCCTTTTCCTAGCCAATAAAACCCGCTGCCAACAACACCACGTAGCGTTGCGCTCTGCTCCAGCCGCCTGCTGCTGCTGCCTTTTACTTTTACTGCTCACCTGTGAGTGACTGACTGGCCAACTAACGGACTGACTGACACAGCGCGTACAAGTGAGTGAACGAGTAACTGTATGTGTGTTCGTATGTATGGAAGTGTGTATGTAAATGTTTTGTGTTTCTTCAACAAGAAGAACAACAAAAAACACGTTAATATGGTCTGCGTATGAATGCCAAGGCAGCTCAGCTCAGCTTAGCCAGCGGCCAACAGCAACAGCACACATACATAGCAATAACAACAACAAAAAATTGCCACGCAACAACTCTCTACGATGTTGGAATACTCTCGGCTCCAACCACAACAACAACATAGCTAAACAACAGAAATAGTGGCATGTATTAATGTTGTTGTTGTTGCGGTAATGCTCACTACCACTTGTTCACTTTGTTGTTTATATTGTCTTCTCGCTTACACTTGCACACATAGCCCCCAACTTACAGCCGGCGTAAGTCATGCGCGTTCGCTCCAACACACACACACGCAGACGTATTCGAGCGCCACAATATTATGTTGATTGTAGGCGCCTACTCGTCGTCGTTGCCTTCGTCGTGTCGTTCACGATGCTTCGTATGACGTGTAATGTGTTGGTGGTGGCGTTTCGTTATTCGCGGCAACCGCCTGTCACACTCACACTATCTGCAAATACATATATTAACCAACAACGGTACCCATACACAAAACACATATACATTAAAAAACGGTGGTTAGAACAGCTGCATTGTAGATAACACGCAGGTTTTACAGAAAATTATGCTTCTTCTTCAACATCGTTAATATTCACAGTATTCACAATGCCAGCAACATTACACTTTTGTTCACAGCACTGCTCTATCGATAGCATGTGGGTCGATAGCAATCGCGATAGATAGATGTTACGATAGCGTAAATACCGTTACTTCACTTAAAAGAGGTTTATTAGGGGTATTCCTGATTACTGATTTTATGTAAACTAAAACTTAAATTGTAGACAGTTGACTTGTGCATAAGTCCGATTTTGACTGGTGGTAGCTGGCCTAATTTTAAATTTTATAAAAATGAGCTGCAAAAATACATACATATGCATACATACACATGTAAAAAGCCCAGAAAGCGATTTATGATACTATATATGACCTAAATATGTATTGCATATAAAAAATTGCAATTCAGCAATTCAGACAAAATAAATTTCATAGTACTATATGTACATACATATGTGTGTGCGGTTGCAGGTTTTATATGGAATAGCTGTGAAGTGCTGATCAAAACTTAAACAGTAATCAGGAATACATGCTCTTTTAATATAAAAGCAATTGGAGCAAGGTCCATTTACATGCATGCATACATAAGTACAAGTAGATACACACATACATACACGTTTGGATGTATGTATGTACAAGTATATGCAATTCAATTAAAATGCACTTCTTACTCACATTACGATTTCGCTTGCGCACAGAGGACACAATTGTGCGCTTGTTGCGTGCCACCAGGCAAACCGTTATAATTAAAATCATGCCAATCAGCGCAAAGCCGAGCAGTGCGGGCAACAGCACGCTATCCTCAGCCTTGTAGCCCTGCAAGGAAGCAAAATAGCAAAAGAATGTGTTTCTTTAATTGGCGTTACGACATGCGAGCTATGCACGCAGACGATTGGTTGGGCAATAGTACTTACGGTCCATTGGATGTATGTCGACGGATCAATGTAGGGCCAATGCGTATTGATCCAATCGTTGCTCTTGTTCTGAGCAGCCACCACTGTCTCCGGCGGTTGTGCGGGCACGCTAGCCGAGTTCGGCTGCATCTGGGTGCTTTGCGTCTTGGCCAGAACGGGCGGCATTATAGGCTTCTTGGCGGCCGATTTCAGCAGCGGCACTTGTATAATGCGTGTGGTAATTGTCGAAGTGGGCGGCAAGCGATTTAGCGAGTTTAACGGTGGGGCAGCTGGTGCCACCGGCTGTGGTGGCTTTGTGGGCGGCAGAGCGGTGCTGGCCAAATATATAGGCAAGGGCAGGATAGTTGGCTGCATTTTGCGCATTTGTTGCTGATCCTGCAGATAAATAGCTGTTTTTGTTGTTGTCATAATGGGTGCTGCTGTGGTTGTTGTTGACGTTGTGGTTGTGGCTGATGTTGTGGCTACTGCCAGCGGAGCTGTTGCAGTTTTATTTAGTTTCAACACAAACTGCTCAACCCCATTCCGATTGACAATCTGCACCGTTTTGCCAATGCTAGCTTCAATCCCAGCTGGTGGCGCTGTGGCAGCCGTTAAAGCAGCGGCCGATCCCACAGTGTGGGCCGCTCCGCCGTTGCGTGTGAGCGCTGCCTTCGTCTTGAGGAACCATTCCGAGGGACTGGGCAAGCATTCGACAGACACTAGAAACGGTATGAGCACGGCCCCAATGATGACGGTGCAGACAAAGATTAGCCCCAAATAGGCGAAAAACGTCCGACGTCTGCGAGGCGCACCATTCCGCTTATGAGCGATGCCACCGCTGGCGCCACTTCCAACGCCACTTCCAACGCCAATTCCGACGCTGACGCTGCTGCCATTGGACGAGGAGGCGGCAGCGGCGGCGCTGGATGAAGTGGACACACCAGCTCGGGCGCCCCGACTGGCATTTGTTAATTTGCCTTCGATGCGAAAATCATCGTTTTGGGGTAATATCGTGTATTGCAAACTATTCTCGCCGTGACGTATCGTTTTGTACATTTTCGCCAGTTTTCTTCCTTCTTATTTATGCTCTTTTGTTAGGCTGCCCTTTTCAGCACCAACAATATTGTGCACAATCTGCAATGATTGATTTGTACGCTCGCGTCGATTTCTGCTCCCTATATCTATTCCGATTGGATTAAGTTAACTCGAGATTGCTGCTTATACCAATGCTGGCTCTGTTGCCAATAGCTTTTGTTGCTGTTGCTGTTGTTGTTGTTGCTGCTGTTATTCCTACTACTGCTGCTGTTTTTGTTTTTGTTGTTACCCTATGCCTATGCATGCTCCTTGCGCACTAATTTTATGTTTTTATTGATTAAACGCTTTTGGCGTTGCCACCTGATTTTTGCCAGGACATCATCTTCATACAGGATGCCATACTGAATAAGTTTAGACTGTGATGTGGTAGCACTGCCGCTAAGCTTGCGATAACGGTATACGGGTAGATGGAGACGCCATCTTTGGCATCGCTCTCCACACACGAGTACCTTTCCTGTTCCGCTTCAAGAGAGGCAGATCGTTCGACAACATCTATAAGATTAGCTTTAAGATTTATAACCTTTCGAGATATTTTCAAAACACACAAAAATGATTGCATTCCGTCATTTTTTTTCTTCTACTTTTGTTATACGAGTATATTTAAAAAATTGTATTCTTCGTTGGAAAAAATATGTTTTTTTAAATTGATGGCAGGAAATGAATGAAAAATGAATTGTTACCAATCAAATAACAGGATTTAATGACGTCAAAAGTAAATACCAGTCATAGAGTCATGATGAAGGGAAGCCCTTAATTGCACTTCCCACCAATTCACCATTCCTCTACTACATATTTATCTATTCAGTGAAGAGTAACCCTGTATGTATAACCGAAATCAGAGGCCATGCCACAATCTATTCATAGGTGGTTTAGGTATTTTTTTCATTGTCCGATAACTCCACGGTACATAGTTCAAAAATGAACTAAAAATAAAAAGCCAATTGCAAATTAAAGTATGCAAGATGTTCGAATCCGAGACCATCACTGCCCTAAGAAAACGATTTTGTTGGCAACAAATCGTTTATGAACTACAACCAGAAAGCACAGAGATTTATGGGCGCCGTAATTAAGGCTGAAAAAAAGCCGCAATGACGAGCCATTGGTTCCACCCGATAATATTTGTTTTTACTGATAAGCGGGCGGGACGATAAGCCCCATGGAGTGCCACGGCCAAGTGGCTTGTGGTGCGAACGGGCTATCAAAATTTTAAAAGCTGTCGAAACACCAATCGGCCAATAGTTATAAATAATATCTATGGCCAAGCTCAACTGCTCGGGCAGCTTAGGCGCTTACGCAGTTTAGTCACGTCGAGGCTCTTGAACCAAAATGTTTATATTGGCGACCATTTTTCTGACTCTGGGCGTCTTTGTGGCGCTCCTTAGTCTCTTCATATTGATATTGGGACGCAAGTCGCCGTTGATTTTTGGCAAATACCCGTGCAAGGGACTCTTCTATCAACTCAAATATTGGATTGCTTTGGCAGTGCTGCGGCGATTACGCTACCGGATCTATCAGCGGAACGAGGAGCTGCTTAGCTCGGCACCTCACTTGGCAACACTAGATCGTCCGCAAGCGTTAAGCAGCGATCCGAAGAGCTACGATGTGGTTAGCTTTCTGGCTGCCAACCGTGAGGGTCAGAAGCTGTTGGTGACGCTGGAGAGGCGCCGACGAGGGGTTCTGAAGGCGGCGCTGTACTTGTGGCTACCCGGAGAGGGACTGCTCTGCTCATCCCGCCTACCAGACATGGCCCACTTCACCACAGATGGCAACACGGAGAGCAGCGAGTTCCGCGGCAGTGGCTTCTACATATATCCCGAGCAATCGATGCGCGTCTGGCGGCTGCAGTACGAGGGGGAATTGCGCCGGGTGCAGACAAAGGAGCTACTATCGGTGAAGCTGGACTTGCAGTTCAGCTCGTCTGCCGCCCACTTTAACTACAACCGCGATCTCAGCTCGGCGCTCATTGCGGACTCTATAGCGCGCGAGGCCTGGAACGATCGCTTCTACAACATGCTGAAGAACGTCGGCCACATTGTGGAGAAACGCACCCACTATGAGCAGAATGGAACTCTGGCGGGATCGGTGCGTTTAGGTGAGAGAGAGCTAAAGCTCGAGCTGCGCGGATTGAGGGATCACAGCTTTGGCACCGAGCGTTGTCTCTCGTCCATAAATCGCTATGTTTACTTCGCCCTGTTTCTGGATGACGGCAGCAGCATGGTCTTGGGAAATCTCAGCCAGCCCTCGTTCTTTCTGTCCTCCTTGAAGGTGGGCTATGTGTGCTCCCCCCAGGGCCTCTACCAGCCCATCACCCGCTGTAACTTCGAGCTCTACTCATATGGGGAGAAGGGCACTCCACCTCGACACCAGAATTTCATTGTACACACGTCCGAGAGGGCGTACTTCGTCCAGATCAGGGTGGAGGATAGTGCTTTGCGTTATGTAGGCGGCGACTGGGAGTCGAAGGTATACAATCAGTTTGTCGCCTGCACCGTGAATGGTGTGAGCGGTCAGGGATTGGCGGAGTACCTGTACAGACACAAAGGAGGCAGACCCGAGGCTGTTAGCGCACAAGATCCCGAATGGTATCAGCGGATCAAGCGCTTCGAACGTAGTCTTAGTAATATGGAGCATACGCCAGAAGATGACGAGGAGTTTGTGTTTTAGAAATGTCTATATTCCCACCGATTTGGGTAGCTGTACGAATGTGATAGAAGATTTTACTATGGCTAAGAAAATTGCATAAAACAGGTTAAATATTTATTTAACTAAATAATTGGAACAAAATTATTAGAATTCCAAAAATAAATTATTATAATCTAATCTTTTTTTTACGAAAATAAATAAATAATACGAAGAATTGTGTAGTTTCAATTAAATAAATTATTAATGCTTCAAAGAGAGAGAGAGAGAGAGAGAGAGAGAGGAGTTTGAAAGAATAATCCAGATTTTACAGTTTTTCATTATAGGAAGGCCTCTGCAAGATTAATAACGTCATTGGGATATGTTCTAAATCGTAAATCTTTGATATCCAACAATCTACAACTAACCTACGTATACAATTGTTTTGATTGTTATTGTTGCTTCATTTGTTTTCATATGGAATCGGTTTATGAATAAGCCATTCTCCATTAAGTAGAGCCAGAACTTAATCGTTGAAACTGAAATTAAAAACTATAGCGACCTTTTTTAAGATTTCAATTAATAGTCACATTATTACATTCCTAAATTGTCAACGACAACGTAAAGCCTCTTCAGGTGGAACCTCTTCAGGGGTGAGATAGAACAATTGCTTCAGCTATGCAATCGCAATAATTTGCAGGGCAACAATAGTGGATAAGATTAATGCCGCACAGTTGGATTTTTGTATCAATAAATAAAATGCCAGTCTATTGATTGCTTATTCATATTTATATAATTTATGAAGCCAAAGACAACAAGAAACACATTTTGCATGTCTCGAAGGCAGACCCACAATTTCCACTCAGTAGAGGCTTAGCAAGGGATTCTAGTAAGATATGATAAGAAATTGAGAATTTTCCGATAGCGTGTCAGTCAATTATGTATATTCGCAAAGATTGTGGTTCACTAAAGAGTTTGTCGGAAATCCCTAATTTGCGGGCAGTTTTTTTAGGCATATGAATGAAACATTATTATGGACGTTATGGCACTAGCACTGACCTGCGACAAAGTTAATGTATAGCTGCGATAAGATTTTTCGGCGATGGAATTTATGATAGATGTACAAGAAATCATAAACAACACACAAAATATTTCCAAGCAAAACAAAAATCTGTCCAAATAGGGTCCGTTGCAAAGGCGCCATCTATCGATAACACGAATTCGATATATTTGTTGGGCCATCGCGCGCTCATATCGATTTTTATTTCGTTCAAATCTTAGCAGGCAAGGACTTTCCTTGGTCTACAAATCATCTTTCGTTAAATCAGGAAAGCATACAAAATTTTCATTTAGTTTTGAAAACACCCCATTCTTTCTTACACATTGTTAATTTAAAAAAAAATCAAAATTCTTAAAAATCGCAGCATGTACGCCGTCGGGTCCAACAGCAATATGACGAACGCTGCCTTCAACAGCAGCGCTGCCGACGCAGATGCCGTTGTGCACGCCAACAAGAAGGGCAATGGGGAACAGAATGACGAGAGCAATGACAACATCAACGGCGTTGACAACGAATCGATGTGCAACGAATTGGGCGATCTAATCATGTGTCCAGCGGACATGCCGGCAAACAGTCGTAAGGCGTTTCTTCAGCACATGGTCGAGAATTTGCCGCCGACGGTGCAGAATCGTGTGCTCGCCTTGAAGCACAATCAAATGCAACAGATAAAAATATCAGAGGAGTTCTTTCGAGAGGTCTACGCGCTGGAACAGCGTTTCTACCATAAGAGCTGCGAACTGTTCGACGAGCGTCGCGATATAATCGGTGGTGTTGCAGAGCCGCAGCCTCAGGAACGCTACTGGAACGAGGAGCACGACCCGATGCTAGAGGAGATTAGAAGTTCAGAGGAGTTCAAGCAACTGACCTCTCAACTGCAACGCATGCCCGATACAGTGCAGGGTGTGCCCAAATTCTGGCTAACTGTCTTCCGAAATGTGGCGCTGATTTCAGATATGGTCCAGGAGCACGATGAGCCATTGCTCGAGTATCTTCAGGACATACGCATTAGCTACGAACCGGATTCCTACACTATCGAGTTTCACTTCGAACCCAACGATTACCTGCACACATCATCTCTGGTGCTGACCAAACGCTACATTTTGCGCCACGAAGCCGACAAGATGTATCCATTCATGTTCGAGGGTCCCGAAATTGTCAGCTGCGAAGGATGTAAAATACACTGGCGTGATGGTGCCAATCTAACACTGCAGACTGTTGAATGTAGACGTCTCCGCAAAGGCGGCCGCTGCATACCGAAAGTAATGCCGCGCGACTCCTTCTTCCGCTTCTTCTCGCCGCCACCGTCCGTTGATCTGTCGATGGCCGATGAAAAGACCAAAATGGTGCTGGGCACAGACTTTGAGGTTGGCTACTTACTGCGTACGCAAATCGTGCCAAAAGCAATACTCTTCTACACCGGCGACATTGTGGACAGTATCAATGACGATTTGGGCGTTGATGTCACATCCGTGTCGTCGGACTCGCAGGATTTGGTGGCGGATCGGCCTAGCACAAGCAGCTCTATACGGAAGTAGAGTCGCAAGGGAGTCAGTCATATATAGTATCCATCAATTGCAGTTCATAATATTTGCGCGCTTTATAAATTAAATATGTTCTAAAATTAAGCTACATAAATTAGCACGTACTACTATTTAAATATGCTTGTATAATACTCCTCTTCTAGATCATACAAATCCATGGCCATTTCATCGCGCAACTTCATCAACTTCTTGTCGCATTCGATTTGTGTGGCGCGGAAGAGTTGCGAGTTGTTCGTAATCGCCTCGTTCACCGAATGGAAATCATTTAGAATGAGGTACTGCTTCAGATCGGCCACCAGTTTCATCAAGGACTCGCCGGCGCGTACTGAAAGTGTAAGCACTTGTTGATTTTAAATTGGTAACTAGCTATGGCTCAAGATCTTACCCATATTAGCGGCTCGAACCTGCATTTCTAGTGCATCCTGTTCACATTGTGTTGTCTTTGAGATCTGACTGTGACTCTCGCGTCGTGCCAGTTTGAGGATCTCTGCAATTTTTGCAATTATTCAGAAGTAACGATATAAAAACCGCACGGGTTGTCTACCTTCAAAGTTCTCTAGCATGCTGCGCACATCGTCCTTGAGGCGCGCATTGTAGGACTTCAGCAACGCCTCCTTGGACTGGGGCAAAATAGTGGAACGCGACCCGCTGGCCATTGTATCACTCAGTTGGTGTTGCGACTACAGAATGGATTAGCAATTTTGCCAATTTTTTGCAATTGTTGATTGCATCGACTACTTAATGACTGAGCATTGTGCGGTCAGTTTTTAATATTTAACTAGAACAAACATAAACTGGCGTGCGAAAAAAAATTCTTTGCGTAGAGACATCGATGGCCAGTCGATACATGTGTTATCGAAACTTGTTTCGCCAAGTAAAGGAAAAAAAATCACAATAGTGACTTCGTCACGTTATTTTTTACAACATATGTATGGTTAGTGGCAGTACTTAATGTGGTATTTCGCTAAAGTGTAATTTGTATTGCAAATTAAAATAGAATACATTTTTTATTTATCAACGAACTCTTTTCAATGTTTGTATTATGTATGTATATGTGCACAAACATGCGAATAATAAAAAATGACACAAAAAAAAGTAACAGATATATTGGTGTTTTCCATCACAGATAGGCGGGTAAGCTATAATCGATAGGAAATAGATGACAACTCCGATAGGTTGTTAATAAAGCAGCTAAAATGCATTTTGCGATGGAAAACACTAATTAAATGTGTCGGTGTGTGTGTGCGTGCATGCAAAATTAGTAAACACAAAGTGGCAGTCACATCCAACGCCTCTGTGCCTGTGGAAGGCACAAACACAGCACTTCAGTTACCTCCCCTTCCGTTTCTGTGGTGCACATTGCCGCGAATACACCTTCACCTATACACTTTTCGCTCGCCCTCAACGTAAACGGAAAAGGCTATCAAAATAAGCCAACGAAGGAGATTCTACACCTGTAATGCTTTAATGCTAAAATCCATACTCGGCGCGGATACGAATGATTCTACGGAAGATTTACCAAGCGGAGGCGGTGGTGGTACGTATTTATTATTTAAATGTGTACATAATTGAAAAATCAAGTAAGAATGCAAGTGCCATTGTGTATGTACATACACATGTACATACATATGTAATAAGCGAATAATGTGCGCACATTATAATATTTTGTTGAAATTATGACTTTGTTTAGACGTTCTAATATGAAGGCATAGTGAACCTTTTTTGTTTGTTTATACGTCCAAAGCTTTCCTCAATTATCATTTTACAGCTCTATGCTATAAACCGGCGGGGTGACTGAAAACAGCCTTTTATTTTAATAAGTTGAATTACAAAAAAACATATTCTGTACAACAAGCATCATTATTTAGGTAACATTTTAGCTATGATGATATTTAACAAATATTTAATTTATATATTAAGCATAATAAAAACGAAGGATCCTTAGAGACTTTATTTTATACATAAGAGCTTCCCCCGATAAAAGCTGTATCCGGATACCTTTTCTTTATGCAAAATTACAATAAAAAGAATTTCTTGTAGATTAAAAAATTAAAATGATTAAGCAATTAACATAAAAGAAGCTAAGCTCGCAACACAGTTTAAATTACAATTCATTTTTTTTGTTTATATCGAAAGTACATATGTATGTTTAGTAAGTGTATGTTCATGGCACATAAGTTAAATTTTAAATCTTCCTCTTTGCAGGTGCTGAGGAGTTGCTCTTCCGTGAGGGCAGAGCCGGAAAACGGCAGAGGGCTCGAAAAAGTGTCTCCTCAGCGGGTTGTCTGGACGCGCAGCATATACGAAACAATCTGAGAATGTCCACCTCTAGCTCTATGCGCAGCACACGTGGTGCCAGCGCCACCTCCACGGCCGCCGTGGCCGCCAGCGCACAGTCGAGCGGCAGCAGCAGTCTCGCCTACGACAGCAGCAGTAATGGGAGCTGTGGCAGCGGCAAAGTCGTCTCACCCGGCAGCTATAGCTGCAATGCGTTAAACGTGGACTTCACCTCATTTACGGCCACGCATCAGTGGACTCGCATGCTGGAGTGTGCGGAGTTCGTTGGCGCCAAGTAAGTATTTGAGCGGGTCGTCTAGACATATTTTTCATTTTTGCGGTTGTCCAACAGACGCAGCAAGCACACAGTGGTCGCTTACAAGGATGCCATGTTCGTATTTGGTGGCGACAATGGCAAGAATATGCTCAACGATCTAATTAGGTTTGGCGTCAAGGATAAGTCTTGGGGAAGAGCGTGTGCCACTGGAACGCCACCGGCACCTCGTTATCACCACTCGGCTGTCGTCTCGGGCAGCTCAATGTTTATTTTTGGCGGCTACACCGGCGACATACACTCCAATTCAAATTTAACAAACAAGAACGATCTGTTCGAATATAAATTCCTGAGCGCCATGTGGGTGGAGTGGAGATTTTCGGGCAGGTAAGCAATTTAGAGCTTTTGTGATGCTCTGCGGCTGCTAATTGCCTTTATTTTGTCCTGTTAGGCAACCCGTGCCACGCTCGGCTCATGGTGCTGCCGTATACGACAACAAGATGTGGATCTATGCGGGATACGATGGCAATGCGCGGCTGAATGATATGTGGACACTGAACCTCACCGGTGAGAATCATCAGTGGGAAGAGGTGGAACAGCAGGGCGATCGTCCGCCCACCTGCTGCAACTTTCCTGTTGCCGTTGCACGTGATGCCATGTATGTGTTCTCGGGCCAGAGCGGACTGCAGATCACCAATTCGCTATTTGAATTTCACTTCAAGACACGCACGTAAGCTCAATGAAAAATATATGCTTTTGGGTGTTGCCTGTTCACTTAACTGAGTATTTGTGTGCTTTTAATTTAAATTAAAGGTGGCGGCGCATATCGAACGAGCCGGTGTTGCGTGGAGCTACTTCAGCACCACCTTCGCGTCGCTATGGTCATACAATGGTGCATCATGATCGTTTCTTGTATGTGTTTGGCGGCTCTGCGGACTCGACGCTGCCCAATGACCTGCACTGCTATGATTTGGACTCGCAGGTGTGGTCTGTGATACAGCCTGAGCAGAACTCTGATGTGCCATCGGGCCGAGTGTTTCATGCGTCGGCAGTTATTGGCGATGCGATGTACATATTTGGCGGCACTGTCGACAATAGCGTGCGACGTGGCGATACCTATCGCTTCCAGTTCTCCAGCTATCCAAAGTGCACGCTGCGCGATGACTTCGGCAAGTTCTTCCACGAGAAGCAGTTCTGCGACATTCAGTTTGTGGTGGGTGCTGAGGAGGTGCGCATCCTTGCACACATTGCCTTTGTGGCGGCTCGCTCCAAGTATTTACGGAATAAGATTCTAGCAGCACGTGAGGCGCGCCAGCAACAAATGGAAAAGGTCTATGGGGTGGGTAAGGTGGATGCGTTGGCGCTGAATACGGGCGTGGGTGCAGATCGTGGTCCCATGTTGGAGGTGCGGCTGGCACACGCTTCTCCCGAGGCCTTTGACATTATACTGAACTATATTTACACGGATCGCATTGATCTGAAGGACTCGTACAGCAAGAACATTATTATACTAATTACGGATATCTATCAGCTGGCGGGGCTTTTCATTATGCCGCGCCTGGCGCATGGCTGTATACAGTACCTCGACTACAAGATCAACAAAGTTAATGTCCTGGAGGCACTCTACAATGCGGATAAGTTCAAGTGAGTGGACCCACAAATTCCAAGAAAGTATATTTCCATTGATGATGGTGTAATATAACATTTACAGCATCAAAATTATCAAGGACCATTGCATGCAGTTCATCATTAAGGATGAGAACTACACCGAGGTGGTCATGTCGACCGAGTTTACTGACCTGGATAAGCCATTGTTGGTCGAGATCATACGAAAGCGCCTGCATCCCAGCAAATTTGTGATGGATACCAGCTATGAGTCGAATATAGGTAAGTTTACAAAATGGCCGTGTGAATCAATATAATTTGTTTGTTTTATAATAGGAACAACCCTGGAGCAGGATATGTTAACTTTTTTGGAAGCAACCGGCAGGGATTTCTGCGACATAAGCCTCATATTGGAAGACCATGTGATATTGGCACATAAATCTGTGTTATCTGCACGTTGTACCTATTTCCAGGGCATGTTTCGTTCCTTCATGCCTCCGGATAATACCGTTAATGTAAGTAGATCATTTCATGTCCAAAAAGGAGCACCTCCTTTTATAGAGTAGTGGAAAATAAAAGTTCAATGGTATAGTTTTTTCGACACTCGACTGATTTCCGAAATTTGCCGCCAAATTGTTTTCTACTTTGAAACAAAAATACTTTAAATTGATTGTTATTCGATAAAGTTCCGATTTTCTAAAATGTAATACATGCTTATCTAATTTCTAACAAATGACACACATAATATTCGATAAGTATAATAATAACGAGAAACAGTATTTCCTTCTCGTACCTGAGAATGTCCCTAAATAATAAAAAACCTTCTTCATTATACTACGAATGGGTTGACTGAACATTCTTTAAAAGTAATACTTGTGTATTGATCGTAAAAAAACCAATCTTTTATTGCAGTTTACTTGAAAGATATTTAATTTGTAGTTAATTCATGCTTCATCGGTAAATACTCATAATAAATAATATCATATTCCTCCTCATAGCCTCTGTAATTTTAGGCAATATTAAAGAACAAATATATGATTGCTGCTATGCACATGGAATTGAAACAATATATTACAAATTTGTTATAATATACAATTTAGAAAATAAAATTTAGCCAGCATGTGTAGTGTTGCTTTATCTCCCAGAATTAAGTGATGTATTAAAAAAGTTACAATGCCTCGTTATTGTGCTATGTTTAAATTGTAGAAAAGAAACATTATTTTATGCTTTATTCTAGGCTACTTACTGCTTGGGGTCAGTCTAGATTCTTTTAGATACTATGCAATTACTATTTACAGAGGTGCTCAAGGGCTTAAAAGCTATACTAGAAAGTCCAAACGCAAAATTTGTTTAACTGCCAGAAGGATATAATCAGCATGACGAAATCGATTTTTCGTTCGTCAGTATGAACACCGAGAACTTTTGCACCATTACAGCTAGGGAAACCAAACTTGGTATGAAAACTTAGCTCATGTATATGCACAGCAAGTTTATTACAAACCTTATATAGACGCATTTTATTGCTGCCATTGGAAAAATCGGTGCAAAAACGCTTTTAGTAGAATAACTTTCTCCTTCATAAAGATGTCTCAAGCAATGTTGGTATTTATGAGTTTTGCGTAGTGTCTTAAATTCATTTGAAGTATTATCAAAATCGGTGCACTATATTATGTAGCTGTCATAGAAATGATCGGGGAAAAAATCCATCTTAGTACGAGATATTGTTCCATCTTAGCGTATTTATAAGTGTTTCATAATGTCTCTCCGTATTTTATTGTTTTACCCAAATCGGCGGACCATACCTAAAAGGTGTCATAGAAAAGAGTTTTACAAGCAGAAGCTCTTTTGTTTATCAGAAAACAGTTAAGAAACTTGTACATTTGTAGTTTTTTTTATTGATACCTCCACATTTTGGTGGCTAGTATACAATTTGTTACACTTTGGGGAACTTCAAGAAGAATTCTACATTAGAACTCAGGTCACTTATGTATCTGTTGGTATAGGAGATACATAATCGTTCTATGTTTCACTACACATGGCGGCTCACATAGACTGAAAGCGGCTGTATGGCCTGCCTCTCTTTTTCTTTCATGTGCTCACTCTCTCTCTTTCTCTCTCACACACAATCTTTTCGTACACAGATACAAATTGGAGAAATCTCGCCATCATTGGAGGCATTCCATTCGTTGTTGCGTTACATTTATTATGGGGAGACAAAAATGCCACCACAGGATGCGTTGTACCTGTTCCAGGCGCCGTGCTTTTATGGCTTGGCCAACAATCGGTTGCATGCCTTCTGCAAGTATTCCCTGGAGCATAACATTACGTATGAGAATGTGCTGCAGACATTGGAGGCGTCGGACATTACAAAAATCTATGACATCAAGGATTATGCATTGAAATTGATTGTGAAAGATTTTGCGAAGGTAGCACGCCTGCCCAAAATCTCTGGTTTGTCGCGCGAACTGTTGCTGGAGATAATACGCGCTGTGGCCGATTCGCAAGGCGAGTTTCTAACGCGCATCAATATCAATGCCGATATCTGAAAACTGGTGCTGCTACAGCCGGCTTTGCAGTTGTTGCTCGCCTGGTTGCAAATCGGACGTAGCACGTAGAGCAGCAGTAGCGGTTGGTAGCGCCTTAATCCACAGCAACGAATAAGCTAACAACAACCACAACAACAACAAGTAGAACGCCACCACAACCACCACCAACAACAACAATTACTACAAATTATCCAAAGAAATTGCTAGAAAAGTACTCTTCAATTGGAGCTGGAAAGGCAAATTTAAATGTAAACAGAAATAAAAACAATGACGGTTTATGACATACGTATGTCAACATATATACACTATGTATGTATGTAGAGAGTATATAAGTATGCTGATGTCAAGTCGAAGGACGTAGGCGTTAGTCACGATTAACTTTAGTAGGCGGTATGGTTAGTGGTTAGTAGGCATACATATGAACATGTGAGAATATGTGTGTGCGTATACGCAATCGTATGTAGCTGGTAACGATGTGTAGGGCATGCGAATGTACGTTATAAACTATATTATATAACCCCCATTTATGTGCTACGTATATATATAATATTTATATATGTATATCATATGTATGTACAAATTTATATTTTGCCGCACTATAATGTGTTAGCCACATGAGCTATGTCCATACATGCTACAATGTGGCGGCTCGTTATTACAACAAACAGCAAATCCCAAACAATTCGAACCTAATCTCCATATACAAATATATGTATGTATTAATATATATATATATATATATATATATATATATATATATTTACTAACATTTATATGCATATACATAATTAGTAAAATGTCCAAGCTCAAAGCTAAAAAAGAAACAGGAAACGAAAAGAGAAAAGGATAAGAGCCAAATTTTTAAATGCTTCTATCTTAGATGTATGTTAAGTAAATGTTTAAGTTCAGAACTTGTTTGTTTGTTACAATTGAAGTGTTTGATTTGTTTGTGCTGCTCTTTTATATTATTATCGAAGCTTGCCAATTATTTTCGCGCCTTCTCAAAATATCAAGCAATATCAGAAATAGTAAAACTTGCGTGCCTATGCACATAGGATATACATACATATGTACATATGTATTAGCAATTGAAGACGGCCGGTTCCGTGTTGTTCTCGCGTATTTGTATGTATGTAGTCGCATAGTAGTACAAGTAATAATAGAATGGACAGCAGTATGCCCAATAATTTGAATTAGTGTTGAGCTGAGTATTTCGTTTTCGATTGAATTCTCATGCCAATTAAATCTCTTAGAACTCGATTGATACTGATGGTGGGCAGTGGCTGGGCATCTAGTGCCCTTATAATTCTGGATGCCCTCCTCCAGTGCATTCATATATAGCTTAGGGAGCCAGTTCTTTGCCATGAGCGTATAATATAAAGTTAACATTATTTAGGATTTATTGAAATGAATCTTTTATTCACGAATGCCAAAATGCTTTTTCAATTTTTCACAAGAATTCCGTTTTTTCCATCATTATTTCGCACATCACACACACATTCCCAATCAAAATCAGCATATATATTACGCATAGGTATTGTACAAGTACATCGAATTGCAGCTAACGTAACTGTCAACATTTTCATTTACATTTTATAGACTTAGACGATAATTAATTACCTTAATGTGTTTATCTGTTTATCTGTATATCTGTCTTCCTTGTTAATTGTGTCGCAGCGTATCCTCACTGTTGATTGATTTGTTTTGTTTTCCTTCAATACTCTCTTTAGCTACGCTTTACAATATTCCTATTAAAGCAAAATAAATGCAAATATACAAGTATATGAGAAATGAGAAAACACAATATTATTATATACATTCAATAAACATACTATGAAATAAATACGTTTCACATGCTTCCTTCATTTATTGCGGCCATCATCTGAAAGGATAACTCAAGAGCATGCCGCAACCTTTGCCATTTGCAGAATTTAAATTGTTTGTCAAAGAGGAGTCCCCCCAAACCCGGCTGGCCGGATAGGCCAATAGAATGAGCCAAGCTAACATACGCCATGGCCCGAGGAGGAAAAGTTTAAGCACAACGAGTAGAAATAATAAAATTTCAGGCAAACAAACAGTTACACACAGATAGGAACGAGTACGGTCCTAGATGGATGAAGAGATAGTCGCATAGACAAGCGGCACACAACTCAATGGAATTAAAACAAAACAAAGGACGACAACGGCCCAGGCAACGTACATTGCAACAAAAACGATATTTCCAGCGTGAACACAATTTCCCATCTAATAATTGGGCCATAGAGGCTCGTTGGGGTATTCAGTTGTTCATTAGGGGAATGAATGGTGGAGGAACAAACTCTTGGATTTGAATTCGAAACGCCTTGGGTAGAGAAATTATTTAGAATTTCCTTTAGAGATATCTATTTTTTTGCTCGAAGCGGTATCTGATAAGTACATGCCCTGAAAGTACTTGCTTAATGGTTGCCTTCAGCTATATATAAACTTGATATCAAAATAAATATAGGAGCCTTAGGGAAACGGTTATAGCTCTTATGCTTTCGGAGTTACTTGTGTTCATACAGACAGACGAACGGACAGATGGACGAACAAGCATGCAAAATGACTCGAATGCTGTTATGCTGATATATTATGCAAAATACATACATATGTACTTTGCGGGGCCTGACACGAATCCTGCTGGGTGTTACAAGCTTTCGAATAGAGTGTATCGAAAATATAGAATAGACATATTTTTAAACTTTCAAAAATATATGAAAAATACAATTAGGGAATACAATATCTTGCCACGAACTTGGCTATTCCTTTTTATACTTAACGTGTGATTTGCAAACATATGTTGACAATATAAATTCGATTTCGGGCCAGTGTGCGATTGGCAAAATAATGTTGGGCACTGTCACTGCCACTGCTGTCGCCTTCGCTGCTGTTGCTTATCAAATGCAAATTACAAAATCAAATATGCCATGAGCTCAGGCAAAGGGGGGAGTGGTGGGGCTGTTGCCGGGGCTGGTGCTGGTTCTGCCTTATGCTGATCCTGGACAGCAGTCAAGGCCAATGCTATTCGGCCGGGGGTTGAGGTTTGAAAATCAAATGAAGTTGTGGCAACAGTTAAGGACATGCATATGCATGCACGAGCATGTCCATCCGAGCACTGCTCATATTTATGGGAGTATGTCGGAGACTTGTAGCCCCGGAGTTGGAAACGCTTGTCCATAATGACAATTGAATTTATTGGCAAGGAAACATGTTAAATTATTTGAAAACTAGCATATAAAATGGCCCCAGGACACTGATGCTCATATGGTATGAGATATGATAGATGGAGGTATGTCAAAAGCAAAATCAGAAATGTAGAAGCCACTTCTCCAGCTGTGGGCTACACATTATAAAATATATAAAGGGATATGATGGCTGACGGGTGGCATGATTGACCACTTGACCAACTGACACTAAGTGACTGCTTGTCAGACGTGACAAGGATTCGGATTTGGATTCAGCTGAAAGATGAATCTTGTACTGAAAAGGTGCCAAAAAAAGCCTCTTATGGCCCTTCTGTTATAAGTATGCTAAGTTGAGAATTATTCGAAGAATATCATTTAAAATGTATTGCTGTATGTACAATATTATTGATTTCTGAGAGGATATATGTATTCGTATGTATAAAGCATTCTATCAGTGCTTTGATATATAATATAATACGGTCACTAGTCCTTTTCAATTGCCAGTTGCTGATATCTTAAATATAGACACAGGGCGTCCGATTTCAAGTTGATTTCAGACCAAAATATTTCGGCTTTTAAAGTTTTGCTTCCATTAGCTTATTGTAAAACCGAATAACTCCATCTGTTTTCAGATATGGGAACTATTACCTTAAGCTGAAATGGAACATTTATGGCTTTCTTGGAATGCGCTATGAACTTTTAAATTGTTTCGGTTCAACAAACAATATTCTTACTTATATGATGTGATGAGTATGAGCATAATGTTTAGGACTAATAATTTAGTAGTAATTTAGTAGTCCTAATGTTTAATAAATACTACAAGAATAAATACTATTTATTTTATTTTAGTCTTTGTTAAACATTTAGGAACATTTTTTGTTTTTATTTTTATTTTTTATTTTTATTTTTTATTTGCGTTGTAATGTTTGTTTCTCATTTTGTTTTTATTTCATTACCAAGCATTTTTTATTAATTGAGTGGAAGTTGTTTTCCAGTCTGCCAACTAAAAGTGGTTTTATTTTACAAAAAGATATATAATATAGTCCACCGATTTTGATGAAAACTTTAGCTTATGGTGGAACGCCGAAATATCATTTAAATCTCAAATTTGATTGTGACATTTCAAAAAACAAGGAAATCTTTTTAGTGCTAGCATGCAACGATCGTTTCTATAGAGAGCTTATGATATATTTAACCAATTTTGATGAAACTAAACTAATATATAATATTATGAAGCACTTTACATAACACTTAAATACCAAATTTTATCAAGATATCTTCATAAACTAAAAGGTTATCATACTGGGTTTTTTTGCACCGATCACGGTCTGTTTTATGGCAGCTACAGTGGGCGCCAAAAGTCTACATACGACCCACCTATGCTACCTGGCAGAACCACAGATATTTATTAAAAAACAAATGCTGCAGTTTCGTTTTTTTTATAGAAGAAAACAAAAAATAGTAAACTTTAGATGTATCCTTATAAAGATATACACGAAAAACCATATTTATTCCTTGTGAAAAGTGTACGTTCGATTTCATTTGACACTTTATTCCTGCAGCTGTGCATCGCCAATAAAACGGTATGCCCTCGGTTATCAAAGCTCTTGATTTTGCTTGGTTTTAGAAATTATTCTCATATCATTTTGAAGCTTTATATGAAACATCGAGGCTATGTATATATGATTTGTGCTACACCTGCTGTGCGTATGGACAGGGGTTTTCTACATACCAAGTTTATTGTGCCTAGCTGTTGTGGTTCAAAAGTTCTTGGGGCAGATCTCTATATCGGTAAGTGTGTACACTGATAAAAAAGTTGCATAGTACAGATGAATATATTCATATTAAATTTAATGTTCTACTCATATTCAAATCAACTACTACTAAAAATATTTTAATATGAATAATATTCAAAACAAAGTGTTAAAATTTGTTATTAAACTGTGTCACATTCAATTTAATGTTAAAACCATATTAAATATTAATATGCACACACTTCAAATGACAAATAGTTAAATTTACTATATTCCATACTAAATTTTAATATTTTTCTCAACTTTTTTGTAGTCTATTTAAATATATTAGAAATTTATTACATACTTGTGCCGTTTTCGCACTTGGTTGGTTGGTCTAGTCGCGTTTTAACCTTCTAATCAGAAATCGCAAGCAACACCTTAGTTCTGATGGCAGCCTATTTAATAAGTTTGATTAAAGATTGGTTCAACAAATCTGTTTTATGTCTATGTTGGCTCTCTTCGAAGGCATGCGTTAGTGGAAGAAAGGAAGAGCATGGACTCGTCTCCGTCTCCCTTACACTCCGTCTACTTCACAATTCGTTTCCTTTCGAGTAAGACATTTTCTATTCGCTCACTTGACATCTTGGATATGGCAGCAGTAGTAATTGGCAATGCGTCCAATAATCCTTTCTTCTTTTTTGGACAACAACAAAGCAACAACAACCCGTCACCAGCACACTACCACATCCACCAAATACACCAAACAACTCACAAGCTACTGTCAATTTATTTTCATATTTTAAGCCCACAAAGCCAAACCGATCGAAGTCAATCAGCTATATAATTCACTATGTAGGTATGGGCCTCTACAAACATTTCTGTGTATATACTTGTACATGTATGTGTGTGTGTGTGTTGGTGTGTCGGCTCGTTTCTTGCTTTTTAATATCCGTTTCATGTGGATTTATTCGCATCAACTTCACGCTGAGCGGCAGAACATAAATTTCATGGCAATTGGAGCACGCAAAGAATTACAACAACAATAACAACAACGGCAGCGTAATCGAAACCCGAAAAATCAAAAGTGGCAAGGGTTAAGGCAGCAATAGTAGTTGTGCCGATTGTTGTTGTTGTTGCTGCTGCCAATACTGGGAGAGGGGGTTGGCTTAAATTGACTTGCGGTATTTTTCAAACTTTTTCGCTACCCTTTTCCTTTTTGCTTTTCAGCTTTTCTTTTTGCTGCGTATGGGCCCCCAAGTTCGATTAATTTATAGCGATAAGCATTTGAGGCTGTGGCAAAGTTAACCCAACGAATTCAACCCCAACCCCGCAATCGCCCCATCGCCATCGCCATAGCCATAGCCACCACCACGGCTACTTGCGTTGGCCATGGAGCCAATAATGTGTTGGCCATAAAGTGTCATTAAATTGGCCACGTCCCTCCGACTGTGCCCGTGCTTAATTAAAGGCATCAATTTGGCCATTTGCAGGCCGAGCATACGCTCCCTATCCCCTCCCCATTGAACATGCAACACGCAACATGGACCATGAAGCATGGCCAACCGTGTAGGCCTGCAGTCCCAAAAAAGTTAAATTAAAAAACTGCGCCCCAAGGTAAGCAACAGTGGAGGGTAAAAAGCGCACCTGGCGATTGAAGTTTAATTGGCATGCTCGTATCTACTCATGTATATGTATATATTTACAAACGATATATACATATATGCTGTATGAGCTATATCTGTACAGTTGTAAATCCATAATAGAGAACTGCCATCTATTCCGATTTCAGTCTAAAAGAAAGAGCTTATAGATAGGGTAGATTTTACTGTTTGTTTATAATGTTAAATACTAATCGGTTGTGGTGCAGACAGCTCGTTAAACAACAATTTAATCAAGAATTATAAGTCGATAGTATGAAGAACTCTCTAACGAACTCTCTAAGGGCTCTTTACACTGATAAAAAAACCACGTAAATTTCAATATTTACACGTAGATTTAAATATTTTTTACCATCGATTTTGCACCATCGTGTGTTTTAGTTGATTTAAAGTGTTCACACTTCAATTTCAAGTCGATCATTAAAATAAAAAATTTAAAGTGTTCACACTTCAATTTCAAGTCGAATACTAAAATATTGAATTTAAAGTGTTACGATATTAAATCACAAATGATGATGTGGAGACGTGGATTTGATTCACGCCAAAGGCTTATTTTTTGTAATAATAAAAATATTTCTCCCACTTTTTTGTCTACTCTAATTGTTTTTAACTCTTTTCAATAACAACATTTCCATAATGCATTTTTTACATACACATATATATTTTGTATGGAACCATTTTTAGCGGAAAGTAATTTCCAAATTCTTTTGAATTATTAATTCTTATAAATTATTAATGTTTATAAATTATTAATTATCTTGCCTTTTATATAGTTTAGATGAATATTAAAATATAAAAAATAAATAAAAGTTAAGAAAAGCTGATTGAATAACACTTACTTGACACATACCTAAAGACCATATCTGTATGTCAAGCGATTACACTTTGTATTTATACCACACAACCGCTGAAAACCGACTTAAGAATTCTAGTCAATTGAAATTTAATATATTGCTAGTATATTTAAATCGACTAAATTTATAGTAGTAGTATATAGTAAATAGTAAATTTAACTATGTGTTATTTTAAGTGTGTGCATATTAATATTTAATATGGTTTAACATTAAATTGAGCATGACACACTTAATAACGAAGTTCTACACATTGTTTTGACTATTATTCATATTTAAATCAGTAATTGAATATGTTCTTATTTAAATTTACGGTGTTTTTATTTGATTTGAATATAAAATAGTAGAAAATTAAATTTAATATAAATCATTTTTAAAAACATTCATCTGTACTATGCATCTTTTTTATCAGTGTAACGGATCCTTAATGTTCGCTGTTCTCGGTTTGCTCTCAGGTGTCGTTCACAGGTATCTGAACCTCTATACCATTTCACATACTCATATAGATAGATATTACGAGCTAGCTTAGTTTATTATTTGAGATATCGCTTAAGTTCGTTTTTTAAGGGGACTGCCTTCAGGATGGCCATGCAGATGTTATCCGAGGATTAGATAAAGGGTTTGCATGTGTGTGGAGAGGATTACATTGACGGCCATCAAATATATAGTAATAATGAATGAATAATAAAAGATTTAAATACACATTAAGAGTATTAAACATTTGTTTGCCACAGTCTCAGTGCGTTCGTTCGAATTGAATTCCATGCTCCCAGCTTTTTTTCGATATAACGATGCTATCCTATAGTATGTTAACAGATATGCAGATCCGCATATGTACTCGTATGTATGCATATATATACATAGTACATGAATAAATGTACATACATGAATGTATGTACATATATGGCACCAAATATTGCAATATGAAATAATTAAATTTCTTACGTGCTCTGTTTTTTCTTCTGTCTCTTCTCATTTTTGCATTCACGCGGCAATCACAAAGCATTTAAAATCTCATTTACAAGCTGAAGCTGTTGGGGCGACACCGACATTCCCATTCCCCCTCCCATTCCCATTCCCATTCCCACTCCCATTTCGCATCTACTCGTATACGTCCATCTGCAATTTAAAGCGCATTGTGCTTCATTTGCTCTGTCATCAGTTAGTCAATGTTTAGGTCCCCCTCTGCCTTGGCCCTGGCAGCCACATTTGGGGCCCTTTGTGACATTCGCTGAAGGACGTTTGACGTGGGGCATGGATAGCTAGTTGATGCCAAAGGGGGGAGGGGCGATACTGTGAGGAAGATCATGGATATACTAGTCACCTTATCTTCCTTTATGGCTACAGAAAAACTAAAATTATATGAAAATGCCAACAATGTAATGATAAAGACAGCGCGAAATACTTAAGTGCCACAACATATGTATCAGCATATTTTCCAAATTAGGTATTTAAAAAACTACAACTTATTCCTATCAGTTATTTAATACCCCGTCCCCGACGTCGAACAATTCAGATTCTAAGCTATACTCGTAGGTACATAGCCTGAGACGCGTTAATCTGTCTGTCCGTCTGTATGAACACTGAGAACTTTTGAATCATAACAGCTAGGCACAACAAACTTGGTATGCAGACTTGTCTTATCCATACGTGGATCAAGTTTATTATAAATTTTAAAAATTACCATTATTTTATATAGCTCCTATATAACTGATCGTTTGTCCGTCTGTATGAACACTGAGAACTTTTGAATCATAACAGCTAGGCACAACAAACTTGGTATGCAGACTTGTCTTATCCATACGTGGATCAAGTTTATTATAAATTCTAAAAAATTACCATTATATAACTGATATAACTGATCGTCTGTATGAACACTGAGAACTTTTGAACCATAACAGCTAGGCGCAACAAACTTGGTATGCAGACAAATCATTCATAGAACTATTATTTTATATAGCTGATATAGAACTGATCACGATCGGTGCAAAATCGCTCTTAGCTTGATCATTTTTTAGTTTGATGAAATTTGTAAAATAATTAAATATATTCTGAAGTTTGATCAAAATAAGAGAATTTTTTGTTTATTACGATATGGGAACCAATTTTGAAATGCCCGAGTTTTGTAAATTGCCTCGCCAATGTGTTGTTTCTTCAAAATAGCCTATAAGTTTAATTTAAGTTATCGAAATAAAATTAATTAATTAATTAAATTATAATTACAGTATAATTAAAGAGTATATATCAGGAAAAAAAGTGGGCGATCAACAGCAAGCAGCTTTTTATTTTATCTTTTTAGTCCCGCATTTGTAAGCTTTCTCCGCTCAATTGAAAGTATTAAAGGACACATGTATTGGAGAATTATTTTTAATATACTTGTATATATGTATATATATTTCTTTTGCGTTTCATGCTACAAAATTAAATTTGGTTTAGCTCTGGTTGCCAGCGAAATCTATAATGTGTAACGGTTACAGAAGGAATTTGGGACTAGGTGGTCGACATGAGTAGGAGCGGCACGCTTAGAGTTCCGGCTCTGGCTCGTCGGCAATTGGGTGGTGTTCTTTACCTCCTACGTCATGTATGTCCCATGCTTATTATTTATTTTAAAAAAGCGTGCATAAGACGAGAAAACAAAACCGGAAGAGAAACACTTAAACTGACTTCGGACGGACTTGCACCTACACTAAACTGCACACACATGATCAGAACTCAGATGTTGGCGAGTCTGAATACGCCCTCCCTACCTTGGTCATTACTAAAAGCCACATACAGAACAAAAAAAAAGAATATTAACAATGACCCCTTTGCTGGAAACAAAAACTTACGAAGGCATTGGGTTTGGCGTGAAATCAAAAAAAATGATAAATTAGTAACACATTATAATTTATTTAAATGGGAATAAAAATGAGAGTGTTAAAGGAAAACATAAAACAAATTGCTGAACATACTATTACTAACAAATTCAATAAATCGAAAAATAATAAAAGAGAAAAAAAAATTACAATATCTAAAAATTTACCCTTTTAAAATATAAATAAATATTGCTCGAAAAAAAAAAATCATTAAACAGCCGTTCAGTGGCGTAGAGAATAAAAATAAATATAAACTTTCTTTAGTGAGTATTGCGCTTCCAATGACCCATTTTTTTAAATCAAATGCAAATAAAAGAATAAATAAACAGCTGTCTACTTACGGCTGGGCTGCTGATCCCACGCAGAAAGCGCTTTCCGTCTGGAACGAGCGTAGCTGTAAAAAAAGACACCGCGCTGGAATAAGAGCGCGCAAACAAAAAAAAAACCGCGGGAAGCAAAGTAAAGCGCACAAGCGCGAGAGAGAACCATTAATCGCTCTCACGTTCTCACTAAAAAAAATTGGTGCCTTCCGAATTACGGAATAAGGCAACACGAAAAAAAAAAAATGCAAAAATAAAACAGTGGCTTAACAATTAAAACCATACATATCACGAGCACTTCAAATAAAATTTTGCCACTGATTTGGACAAATTAACATATATAAAAAAACTAGCCTAACCTTATAAATACTAATACGCCGGCATACGGCTTCTTCGGCGCTTGCGCGCCACTACACTCTTACCCGAATTTACTCGGGATTTTTACTTTTTTTCGGGCACTAAACCGACACCAACAATAAAAAAATTAAGGAAAAAAATGGGTAACACCTCCGGGCGAGTTCCGATACTTATTTTAACGTTTGGTCGCCGATTTAAAAAGGGTCGCGCCCCCGCCGACGTTTGGTCGCTATAGCCGCCTTTTCTACACTCCCAAATTAAAGTAGAAGCTGCCGGGTGTTGAGTGGACGGGAAAGCTAGCCTGGAAGTTGCTCTCTTCTTTTTTTCCTGCCGTTTATTCTCCCTCTAGGCACTGCGGCCGACCGAGTGGAAGTCCCAGGCAAGGTTTGTTGTTGCAGACAGCTGATCAAGGCCCTGCAAATCAATTTAATGCCTATCAGACTGCCTTGCCTAAACACTTGTTGCAAAAAAAAAAAATCACGCAATCTGCAACTTACCGAGGTCTGATACTTCTTCCGCAAATATTTTAGCGGCTTTGATGGTTGTACCCTTCAAAGCGGTTAAACAGAACAATTACACTCTTTTGAATTTAATTTGTGAACTTTATTTTTTTTCCCACAAAAGGCACAAGCATTTGCTTTCTTGCCAGCGGAAGAAAATTTGACTTTTTTTTTTTTTTATTTCGACAAGTTGAACTTAACACTTCATACACTTCTGGCTTGATCGACGTTCGGAATAAAAAAGAGCGAACGTACTACCGCTGGCGCGAACGAAAGCTTTTAACATAGCGTCAGTGAAAGGCGCCAATTTCTTCCTTTTGTTGACGTTTGCTGCTGCTATTTCACTTTCACCTTGTACCTGTTAAAGGCTACTGTTTAGCTTGACCAACAGATGGCGAGTCGTTAAATTTTAAAAATAATTAAATTTAACGTACAGGCTACAAGTCACGCTACAAATGCCATCGATTATTGCAGGAGCTTGGGTTAAATATGTAGTTAGTGCCTGCGAGTATTTGTTTGTTTGCTTGTATTTGCTTTTTGAATTAGGAGTAGTGGGCGCAAAAACTAATGGACCTTGTCAGATTGACAACAAAGCAAATCCTTTTGAATGCATGTGTGCAGGTGTAGGTGCAGCCACTTATGCATAGTAGTGTGCGTGTGTGTGTGTGTGTGTGTATGTGTGTGTGCATGACAATGCATGACATGCCTAAGTAGCATAAATATTTACTTAAGCTCCTTATGTTTGTTGATTGATTTGAAATTAATTTTGCAATCAAAACAATGTGGTTGTTGTTGCAGCTTTAATTTGTGGCGCCAGGGGTTAGGCACATGCTTTTTGTTTATACAGCGAAAATGCAATTTAGCGCAGGCACAAAGCCAAAATTAAACCGTAATTTTCAATACATGTAATTATATGTGTGAGTGTGTATGAGTGAGTGTGTTGCACACAAAATTGCTGCAAGTAACATTTGATAGACATTTAATCTTATACATGCATGTGTGTACATGTGTGTGGGTGTGTGTATGTGTGTGTGTGCATATGGAGGGTAATAAGATTTCACATTATTTTGGTTAATTGCCACTGACATAACTAATAACAACTGCACAGGCAGTAAGATGCACACACACACACAAACACACACGCACAGCTGCTGCTGCGGCTTATTAGGCTCAAGCACATTGCAGACAGACACACACACACACACCACCACAGGCAGAGCCACAGACACGCTTGGCTACGTGGCTTAAAGCATTTCCGCTTGCACCTAATTGTATGCTATAAAATAATAATTACATGCCATGCATATGCAAAGTGAGAAGGGAGGTGGGCGGTGGGCGTGGTCGTTGGCTTGGTGGTTGGACGTGGTGGCTGACAAGATTTCCGTTTCACTAACTTCTCCAGCAACTTGCAAGCAATGATCCTCTGCATGGAAACGGCAGCGTTACGTTGCAAGTGCGGCTGCGAGTGTGTGTGTGTGTGTGTGTGTGTGTGCGTGTGTGCATGTGAAGAAACAATATTTAAATAGCCTGCAGTTCCATGTGATAAACAAATAAAGTTTTAATAACTGCCAAATAAACATATGAACGTTATAATTCCCTTTTTACTTGGGAAAGTTTTACTAAATCCAAGATTCTTAAATTTCAGTGCGAAATCAACAAGTTATTAAAAATTCCGTTTCCAAATTTAACGGAAGATTTCCTTTCAAAAACTCGATGTATTTTTGTTATTAACAAACAAGTTTTCTTGACAAAAATAAATAAAAAATTGGAGAAGAATAATATCTCGAATAATTTGATAATAAAGGATAAGTTTGTTCCTTTGTAAATAATTTGAATGAAAAATGTTTGGTTTCGCGAAAAAAAAAGAATCTTTTGAGTGATTATCTCAACTTAAGTAATCTTAGCTTACTACCCTCTAACTAGGACCTGGCACAACAAAGTTAAACGCCATATTTAATGCAAAAAAATCTATTTACAAATAGTACTTGTTTTATATAGAATTGTAATATTAATGATATATTTGAAGTTTATTATAAATTATTTGTGTATTAGTACTAATAATGCTTCTTAACATTATTAGAGCGTAAGATTTTAGGATATATTCAAATTCGTAAGGGACCCAATAAAGTTGGTTTATTAGGAATTCTTCCACCTTTTTGTGATGCAATTAAATTATTTACAAAGGAAAAAACTAGTGCTGACTAGTTAACATATAAGTAACTCCACTTGTTGCACTAGGAATAATTAACAATAAATAAATAAACTTATCCTTTATTATCAAATTATTTGAGATATTATTTTTCTCCTATTTTTTCATTAATTTTGTCTTCATTAGTTTGAATATGTATACCTTCTTCATTCATTTTACAGCTTATAGATTCTAGGACTGGAAAATTAAAATTAAATTTCCGCGTGAGAAAACTCTAACAAGCATGCATTTCTGCGAAATTAAAGGATCAAGAAAAAAGCTCTTCGATGCACCCAGAATACTTATTGATTGTAGATTTGTTTCTATTTATTTTTAATTGTATTTTAAATTTTATTTTATTATTATTACTATGCATGTTGCGAATCGGCCTGCAGCTTAGGCCAGTTAGGACAGCTTAGAACAGTTTGATATTTTTTATATATAAGACCACTCTTATAGAATTTTAAGACTTTAAGTAATTTGTAAAATATCGTTTTTAGCGATGATCCGAACCAAGTTCCTACTTAGGAACGAACTCACATCGTGGGATTCTTGTTACCTCCTGTAGATTTGTGAAAACATAATTAAATCCACGAAATTCCTTAGAAGCGTACTAATGAGCCAAATATACCTAATTCTGTTTTTTACACGGTTTTGATTTAACACGGTTTGCAAATTAATAATTATTATATGGCTGCACGACTTTATTCCATTTAGCACGATTCAAAATAACATATGATCAATGTCTTTTTTACACGGGTTTCTTACACGACTTTTTCTGTAACCAATGTACCGTGCAAAAACAGAATTAGGTGTATGTCCAAATATGTTTCCAACCAAATTTCGAATGCATTTTCGCCGAACATGTTTGAGGAAATTAATAAACATGTTCGTTTTCACGCTATATTTGTTCTGTCAGTGTAGGAGTGGAAGGTTTGTAATGGCCCTGCATTTGGCCACTTAACGTCCTTGTAGCTTATGTGCAGGCCACTCCTTCACGGCACATTGGAGCAGTTGCTCATGAGAAGCTGCAAGCCACATACTCGTACGAGCAGACAGTGTCGAATGCAGGGAAGGCAAATGGGACGCATTCGGGCGTCTAGATCGATGCATGTAGCATTTAATTTATGTTAAAATCATGCACACAAACGCACACGCACACACACACACACATAGGCACACACATGGAGGCACGCACGAGCGCATAAGCTCACGAGATGACAGGAGCGCGTGGTGTGCACGTCGAACGGTAAATGTTTATGACGCACTCGAAATTGTCTATCAAGTTAAGCTGACGCTGCCGTCGTTGATGTTGTCGACGTTTCAGCCCCCTCCCCCCTTCCGCCCTACCTACTTATCGTCTCTACTGCTGCCTACTTGTCTGCCATAAAATGTCACTTGAGGCATCAGGAACCGCTCCACCCCCCACCCCCCCCTGTCCTAGTCGGCTCGTAGGTGCCTAGTCTCTCACATCGAATGGCAACGAAATTTTCACGTCTCAACTTTTTGCTTTTTGTCTTTATGATTGAATATTTAATTCAATATGTTGCGCAAATCCATTTGGTGACGCTTTTCCTTTTCCTTTTCCTTCATTTGGCAAAATGAATTTTCAAGCATCGTTGCATACTTTACGGCTCCTTACCGCTTACCATGGCCAATATTGAAAAGTTGACAAGCCCGCTGTTGTTGTTGGTGTTGTTGTTGTTGTAGTTATTGTTGTTGGAGTTTGTTTAATGAGGCTGCTTCAGGTGCAGCGTAATAGGATCTTTTACATTTTTCAAATCACAAATTTATTATTTAATTGTAGAATAACATAAATAAACTAATAGGATAGCACAAATATAATTTTATTTATTATAATTTATAATTTAGGAAATTGGATTGGCAAGGTCGACCGGATGTGATCTCTTCAGCCTCTTTCTCACGCTCGATTCTAATTTCTTGCGGGTTCGTAGCAGTCTACTCCTTTATCCAAGGGCGTAGCCAGCTTTTACCAAAGGGGGGCCAAAAAATTAAAATTTTGATTAAATAATGCCCGATGCATTTAAAAAATAATTTATGCATATGATCGATGAAAAAACTTCAACAAATCCAACGCAGATCCATCTTAAGGCGAAATAGTGCGTCATAATAATGAACGTGTGGTCGACTTTATATGGAAAATTTTTTTCTAGGGGGGGCAACGGCTCCCCCCTGCCCCCCCCCCCCCTGCGTCCGCCCTTGCCTATATCCTTTTCGTTGTTTGCAGCAAAAACTATTTATACCCTACCTTTTGATCTTCATATAAGTTGTTTAATTTTCATTTTATTTTAATAAATCAAGAAATTGTGCTGTCGGTACAGATTACAATGAAAATGTTTTATATTATAAAAGGATGTAAGATACTGGCTTATAATGATGATATAGAATAATATTACGTTTTAATTATTTTTGCCATTTAGCCAGCTATGCTCCGATTCACAGCGATATGTGGCCATAAAGTATAGTATAGTAAGTACAGGAGAAAACTTAATTCTACTTAAGAGCTAATCTCCAATCTGGTGGGAGAAAATTAGATTGTCAGTCCGGCAAGCTATGTCCCGACTCAGTCAGTAAGTGGTCAGAAATTTTCTCAGATATCAATGTGAAGGACAGGATTTATAGAATAGAGAGAGAGAGAGAGGCAGAGAGAGAGAGATGCTGAGCATCATCAAAAAAACCAGCTTGTGCACTACGGTTTTTATCCCCGTTTTTTTGGCAGAAAGTCCAAAAAAATGTTGTCCAAATATAAAAAATTTTATTTTTATTGTATTATAAATTGTTTAATTAAGCGAAAATTAAATTAATTCCTGCTGATATGGCAACACCATTTTCTTGGCGCGCAGTCAAAGTTACCTGATTGTGTGAAACACATGTATTTGTGATTGTGGCAGCAATTTTTGGTAAACTTTCAGAGCTTACAGAATTAAGAAAATAACCCACAAAAGTTAAGCTATATAATGGAAAACGTTAATCAAGGTATGTGAAATTATAATCCAAAACTGTTTTTAAGCGATGAAGTGTGTTCGCGTAATTGTGCCATGTGTTGTTCATGTGCTTTTTTTAAATTAACCTTTATAAGTTGCGCTGTGTTTCGTGGAATAGTACTTTTGAATGGTAAAGAGTTGCAAAAAGTTATAAATGTGGAAATA